ATTGGGTTGAGGTCGGAGGATTCTGGAGCCCAGGTCATCTGATGCAGCACTCCATCACTCTCCTTCTTGGTAAAATAGCCCTTACACAGCCTGGAGGTGTGTTGGGTCATTGTCCTGTTGAAAAACAAATGATAGTCCCGCTAAGCCCAAACCAGATGCGATGGCGTATCGCTGCAGAATGCTGTGGTAGCCATGCTGGATACGTGTGCCTTGAATTCTAAATAAATCACAGACTGTGTCACCAGCAAAGCACCCCCACACCATAATACCTCCTCCTCCATGCTTTACGGTGGGAAATACACATGCAGAGATCATCCGTTCACCCACAAAGACACGGCAGTTGGAACCAAAAATCTCCAATTTGGACTCCAGACCAAAGGACAAATTTCCACCAGTCTGATGTCCATTGCTCGTGTTTCTTGGACCAAGCAGGTCTCTTCTTCTTATTGGTGTCCTTCAGTAGTGGTTTCTTTGCAGCAATTCGACCATGAAAGTTCTTGAAATGTTCCGTATTGACTGACCTTCATGTCTTAAATGAATGATGGACTGTTGTTTCTCTTTGCTTATTTGAGCTGTTCCTGCTATAATATGGACTTGGTCTTTTACCAGAAAGGGATATCTTCTGTATACCCCCCTACCTTGTCACAACACAACTGATTGGCTCAAACGCATTAAGAAGGAAAGAAATTCCACAAATTAACTTTTAAGAAGGCACACCTGTTAATTGAAATGCATTCCAGGTGACTACCTCATGAAGCTGGTTGAGAGAATGCCAAGAGTGTGTAAAGCTGTCATCAAGGCGAAGGGTGGCTATTTGAAGAATCTCAAATATAAAATATGTTTGGATTTGTTTAACACTTTTTTGGTTACTAAATGATTCCATATGTGTTATTTCATAGTTTTGATGTCTTCACTATTATTTTACAATGTAAAAAATAGTAAAAGTAAAGAAGAACCTTGAATGAGAAGGTGTGTCCAAACTTTTGTCTTGTAGTGTATATATATTTTTAAATAATAATATGCCATTTAGCAGATGCTTTTATCCAAAGCGACTTACAGTCATGTGTGCATACATTTTTACGTATGGGTGGTCCCGGGGATCGAAACCCACTACCCTGGCGTTACAAGCGCCATGCTCTACCAATTGAGCTACAGAGGACCACCCATACACATATTTAACCCCTTTTTTTGGGTAGGCACAAACCTACCTCCATACTTCCATAAAATGTTTTAACCGGTACCGGTTACTTTCAGATGAGTCCCATGACACTTGTAGGGGTCGTAGAGCAAAATGGAGTACATCCACAGTTGGGTCACATTAGTTTGTAGCCCAAATGGTTTGGATGCTACAAACAGAAGTTGGCACATCGACAGTACCGATTTCACACGAGTCCTTTGGAGCTTGTGGGGGTCGTAGAGCAAAACGTGTTCGTGAGAGTCTCATCTTTCCATAGAGTGGTCAAACCGTTTGGACGCTACAGATGTTTTCATGAGAATACCTATTTTCAGGATGTCTGATAAACACCACTGTAGCTCGCTATGTGCGTCAATAGACTCTAGGGGGTTAATATTTCAGTTTGAAGAAACTCTAGGGCTATATTAGGGCTATAGTAGAGAAAATGCTTATTTGCTGGGTTTGTTAAGCTTTTAGTATTATGGTGATATTATCTTCTCAAATCAAATCAAATCAAATTTTATTGGCCACATGCGCCGAATACAACAGGTGCAGACATTACAGTGAAATGCTTACTTACAGCCCTTAACCAACAGTGCATTTATTTTTTAACAAAAAAGTAAAAATAAAACAACAACAAAAAAAGTGTTGAGAAAAAAAGAGCAGAAGTAAAATAAAAATAACAGTAGGGAGCCTATATATACAGGGGGGGTACCGGTGCATAGTTAATGTGCGGGGGCACCGGCTAGTTGAGGTAGTTGAAGTAATATGTACATGTGGGCAGAGTTAAAGTGACTATGCATAAATAATTAACAGAGTAGCAGCAGCGTAAAAGGATGGGGTGGGGGGGGGGCAGTGCAAATAGTCCGGGTAGCCATGATTAGCTGTTCAGGAGTCTTATGGCTTGGGGGTAGAAGCTGTTGAGAAGTCTTTTGGACCTAGACTTGGCACTCTGGTACCGCTTGCCGTGCGGTAGCAGAGAGAACAGTCTATGACTAGGGTGGCTGGAGTCTTTGACAATTTTGAGGTCTTTCCTCTGACACCGCCTGGTATAGAGGTCCTGGATGGCAGGAAGCTTGGCCCCAGTGATGTACTGGGCCGTACGCACTACCCTCTGTAGTGCCTTGCGGTCGGAGGCCAAGCAGTTGCCATACCAGGCGGTGATGCAACCAGTCAGGATGCTCTCGATGGTGCAGCTGTAGAATATTTTGAGGATCTGAGGACCCATGCCAAATCTTTTCAGTCTCCTGAGGGGGAATAGGCTTTGTCGTGCCCTCTTCACGACTGTCTTGGTGTGTTTGGACCATGATAGTTCGTTGGTGATGTGGACACCAAGGAACTTGAAGCTCTCAACCTGTTCCACTACAGCCCCGTCAATGAGAATGGGGGCGTGCTCAGTCCTCTTTTTTTTCCTGTAGTCCACAATCATCTCCTTTGTCTTGGTCACGTTGATGGAGAGGTTGTTGTCCTGGCACCACACGGCCAGGTCTCTGACCTCCTCCCTATAGGCTGTCTCATCGTTGTCGGTGATCAGGCCTACCACTGTTGTGTCGTCGGCAAACTTAATGATGGTGTTGGAGTCGTGCCTGGCCATGCAGTCATGGGTGAACAGGGAGTACAGGAGGGGACTGAGCACGCACCCCTGAGGGGCCCCCGTGTTGAGGATCAGTGTGGCAGATGTGTTGTTACCTACCCTTACCACTTGGGGGCGGCCCGTCAGGAAGTCCAGGATCCAGTTGCAGAGGGAGGTGTTTAGTCCTAGGATCCTTAGCTTAGTGATGAGCTTTGAGGGCACTATGGTGTTGAATGCTGAGCTGTAGTCAATGAATAGCATTCTCACGTAGGTGTTCCTCTTGTCCAGGTGGGAAAGGGCAGTGTGGAGTGCAATAGAGATTGCATCATCTGTGGATCTGTTGGGGCGGTATGCAAATTGGAGTGGGTCTAGGGTTTCTGGGATAATGGTGTTGATGTGAGCCATGACCAGCCTTTCAAAGCACTTCATGGCTACAGACGTCAGTGCTACGGGTCGGTAGTCATTTAGGCAGGTTATCTTAGAGTCCTTGGGCACAGGTACTATGGTGGTCTGCTTGAAACATGTTGGTATTACAGACTCAGTCAGGGACATGTTGAAAATGTCAGTGAAGACACTTGCCAGTTGGTCAGCACATGCTCGGAGTACACGTCCTGGTAATCCGTCTGGCCCTGCGGCCTTGTGAATGTTGACCTGCTTAAAAGTCTTACTCACATCGGCTACGGAGAGCGTGATCACATAGTCATCCGGAACAGCTGGTGCTCTCATGCATGCTTCAGTGTTGCTTGCCTCGAAGCGAGCATTGAAGTGGTTTAGCTCGTCTGGAAGTCTTGTGTCACTGGGCAGCTCGCGGCTGTGCTTCCCTTTGTAGTCTGTAATAGTTATCAAGCCCTGCCACATCCGATGAGCGTCAGAGCCAGTAAAGCTATAGCTCAGTTGGTAGAGCATGGTGCTTGCAGCGCCAGGGTTGTGGGTTCGATTCCCATGGGGGCCCAGTATGAAAAATGTATGCACTCACTAACTGTAAGTTGCTCTGGATAAGAGGGTCTGCTAAATGACTAAAATGTAAAGCAAGGAAAAGATGAGACACTTGGGTAATTGGAGTGTATTCCTTGGCCATCTGTAGAAATGTCAGGCTGGATAATATCTTTCATATCATTATGTCTTGCCTGACAGATGGCCATATCCAGAGAGACTATAACTCCATTTTATATCTTTGCACATTCTGTAGGGCCATCAATCAATATAACTGCGCTTTCTGAACAGGGAAGCAACTGAGGTAAATTTGTCAGAAACTGGTCAGTGCAGTGCAGTGCTGAAAAAGTAATATCCAACCGAGTAGATAAAACCCTTAAAAAATATTTTCAGTTCATGTCAACAGTTATTCAACAATATATTGAATATGTTTGAGCAAACAATTAATGTGAAAATATGTTTTGGTCAGATTTGAGCGATTTTCCAAAGCGTTTCAGAGGACATCCTGCTCATGCTGTTTTGTTTCGACCCTTTCTAATTGTTCATGCGTCTTACGATCCAGGCGTGACACGGCTCAGGCAGATGGGTTTACCTTTCCATGTGCAGTATCCATGTTGTCGTCACGGTGATGACAGATAAGCGGTCATCGCCCAGGCCACGTTCCACAGGCGACACCATCAACGCAATATAGTGGCAGATGGGTGAGATGCTGGTGTGTTTACACTGTAGGTTGTGGAGGAGAACAGGATTCACGGCAGAGGCCTTTGATCAGTGACAGAGCGCAAGAGTGTGGCCAACCAGGCGGAGACTGATCTGATGGCATCGGGCCTAATCACTAGATTAGCCATCAGATAGCCTACCCTGCCTAGCCTCCCAACACACACTGCTAATTAGTAAGTGGAGAAGTGGAGCATGTTCCAGAATAATAGAGAAAACAACAATACTTTTTCATCATCAACTTTTGTATGTACTTATTGGGACTAAGTTAATGTGGGTGACGTATGCTGGAAGCAGTGTGATTATGCACAAATTCAACCAGGCCCAGGAAATCAGTACACACACACGCACGCACACGTGTGCACGCACGCACTCACACACACACTCTCATCTAAACAATGGCATCTATAGTTAACAGTGTGGGATAATATCTGTTTTTCTTCTTTGTCTTCTGTGCAGAGTGAGCCTACATACAGACAGAGGATGACCTAGAAGCCACCACTGCTGAGCCCAACAGAGGATAATATCACTCTTGTGTGTGTAAGCAACAAGGTGTGTGACAGCAAACAGGGCTCCACCTGCACCCGGGTCAGCCTGGCAAACATGGGGGGCCACGTCACACTGCTGCTCCCCTTCCTACAGCTGCTCCTCTGTAGCTTGTCAGGGGTGTGGGGGTTCCCCTTCGGCCCCGTCCTTGACGTCACCCCCAGGACCACGGTGCTCTACCAAGGTAAGGCCAGACCAAGGCTCCAGATTGCTGTATACTAGGAGGTTGTCCTGGCAACATGACTACACCTGACCTAAGGAAAACTCTGGGACAGAGTAATAGGCTGTGGCCTAGGAGTTTTTTCTGGTCAGTTCACATGGCCTGGAAAAACTCCTGGCTGTACTTAGGATATAGGATATCTACGGGATACTAATGTCACACTCGGTGTGTGGATTCAATACGGCTGCTCCAACTCCCTCCTGTTCACTTTAAACAAGTGGCACAGTTTTGTAAGTTGGCCCCGAAGACAGCCAGCCCCTACTTCCAGGGAGTTATTAATCGTCTCTCTCAAGTCCTGTCCTAGTTCACTTAGTTCACCATGCAGCCCTAATGAAACAATAGAGAATAGACAGAAGCTCTCATCGCCCATAAAAGAGGACCCCTCTACAGTGCATCCCTGACCAGTGCCTGTGTAGAAAATGAAATAGTGCTGAATAGGTGATTTTACGAAGAAGGGTTAAGGTACATAATTTACACACATCAGCATCCCCCCCCCCGCCCCCCTCCCCCAACCCCCCATAACAGCTCAGCCTCTCTTTCTCTATCTACTGCAGCAGAAGCTACTGCAGAGGGATCACCCAGCCCTGGCAGGCTCTTCAGACGACTATACTGTCCCTGGCTGCTGTCAGCTCTCCACACCTCTCCACTCCTGTCTTGAGAGGAGGAATATTATGAACAGATTATTAACAGAGTGAAGAGAGCCGGGTGCATCGCCTGCCTGCACTATGGTGCAGTCACAAAACCAGACTATTGCAGTGGAAAGAGACGGTTAGAGATAAGCGATAGACAGGACTTTTAGTGGGTTTAAATGGGAATTTCACTCAAAAATCTTTGTTAGCTATGTTGCTCCTCACCTGAGGTAGTATTAATAATATTATGTGTATTTCACATGCAATGCTTGAGCGTGCACAACAGAAAAAGGATATAAATCCACCCAAAAGAATGATGTCACTGGGTTACCCATTCAGGGAAATGGATTCCAGATAATGTGATGCATAAGTATTAGTGAGTTCCTATCAGAATCATGTTAATGTCATGATCATTTTTGTTCAAAAAGCCTCTACTGCTAATTTGGTACACTCTTTTATTGTAGACGTGTGTGGTACAGTCGGTCTTATTTTTCTCCTTGTCCTTGTAGAAGGAAGTCATTGACCTACATTCAGACTCCCATGGGTTGTGTGTGTGTGTGTGTGTGTGTGTGTGTGTGCATGCGGGCGTGCACATGCATGCATGTATGATCTCTACTTACATCTAAAATCTGCACATGCATGCACCCCCTGTCACTTTCCCTTAGGAGAAACATGCCCAAGTGCAGAAATGGAGAGTGCAGAAAGTAGCACCTCCTAGAGGAAAATGGGCGCCGGGCACTTGACTGTACTGTGTATGGAAATAAGGGCTATGTGGGTGGTGATGGTGGTGGTACTATATTAGGAGCATAAATGTATGTATCTCTCTGGGTGGATTTATAATATGTTTCACAGTTAGTGTGAGAGGACGATCATTAATTTGCATTATGTTTTACAGTTGGTCTGTAGGAGTGGGTGTACAGTAACTCGCAATAAAACAGAGAAAGGATTTATAACCACGCTAAAAAGGGCATATCTGACATACTGTAATTTTAAAAATAATTGTGTTCTTGTGTGTGTGTGTGCACGTGCTCATCTATGTGTTTGTGCGTGCATTTGTTTGTGTGTGTGTGTGTGTGTGTGTCCCTCTCTCTGTCGTTAGATGAATACCTGACTCTGGTCTGAACTAGGGCTGTAGGCTTGTTCAATTAGCAGACAAGATACAGTATGCTTAAAAGGACTGTACCATTATTTTTATATCAAAAATAATATAATTGAACTTAGCTGAAGAAAACAGAAAGGATATTTTTCCCATTCTGAAGCAGGTGCGCATAAGAAGTAGCTATGTTGAGTGTAAAAGTGATCGTTTGAAACAGGTCCTATACGCTAGATTTAGAGTTATTTGGCAACTTTAGTTGTGAATGATCCAAACCTTAGAACGTCTTAGAAATCAAAACATATGGGCTGCATGATGCGAATATAGGCTATTGATGATTTGAGAAAGTCGCAAAAAAAGCTTGCTTGTTCCTTGTTCTCTCATCAAGTGATCATATTTTCACCCATCAGACTATTCTCAATTTAAACTTGTCTTTACTAATACAGTATGTAAAATTAGTTTTGATTTAGAATGGCCCATTATCAAATGGGCAGGAACAGGGGCAGGGGAAAACTACTTCGATTTTATAGCGGAGCATGTGCTTAATATGAGCAGCTGAGAATTAAATATAAGAACACTTATTTCACTCCTCGCATCAATCATTGTTTGAGGAGCATGCTCTCGCTGCGCGACAGGTGATATTCTGCCCAAACTCTGTATGCCATGGGCTCTCCAACCTGTTCCAGTGCTTAATTTGGGAAACCAAGTGAAATCTGTTCGGGAACATCGATAGTAACATGTTTTCGCAACAAAACATATTTCACTAAACTGTTGACAGCCCCTCTGCGCGCTCTAGAAAGGAATAAAGGAGAGAAAGGAGGAGATGGAAGAGCATTGTTGGGGAGATATTCTGTATAGCTAAAGGTAATGTGTCACACAATTAAATATAAAAAATGCCCTATTACTAGGCTATTCAAAATCAAATACAAATTCACTATAATTGTAGGCTAACTCTGTAAGCCGCCCTGCACAATCAATGAACCAACAGCATCGCCAAGGCCTATACGTTCTCTCCCAGCCTCATGGATAGACATTTTGGACCATAGCATAAAGTAACCAGTCCATCCTGTATGAATAATAATACAGTCCACACTCAAAGGCGATTACTTGAATTTGTTTAATTTTGGAGTATAGGCTAGACCAATTATTTACCAAAGACATCTTAAATCAGTTTTGCGTAATATGCGGTAGGCTATGGATTGTATAATGGCACAATCATAATTTTAATTGAGGTTTTCTTTTTTTATTGGGCTCATAACTCTATGCGTATGCATAAGCTCTAATATGCATATAGTGTTTTGAATTAATCATCGCCTTAGAAAGCGCTGTCCATTTCGTTTTGTTAGGCTTTGAAACAACATCCACAACGACCATGTTTTCCACTCAGTTTCAACCTGTTGTTGAACGTCTTTCTTCAAACCGATCATCACAGTGAGGTGAGTTTTAAAAGCAAGATACTGTTTTGATGATAAGTGTTTGATGTGATTTTCAATCGCATTTGCTTTGATATCAGAGTGGTTAGAGGGACAATAGAGCCCTGAGTACCAGGCCATTAGGACCTGATGGTCATTAGCAAGTTGGGTACTACCAAAGCATGTTCAGAGTGCATAAGAGGAGATTACTGTGACTCATCAGTCACATGGAATTTTACTGCGGTCATGACTCATGACTGCCGGTGTGGCGGTAATACAGTCACCGCAACAGCCCTAGTCTGAACTCAAGGATGTACTTAGGGGGTTGTCTCCCATGTCCTGCTCTCTCTGCTGGTACCAACCAGACTTGAAGTAATGGAACCATGCAATATTGATGCATGTGTAAGATCTGTCTACTGTTGCTACGAGGAGAGGGCAGCGGAGGGCTTGATAGTAGTGGATTTCTGTGTATTATTTAGACATGGTGTAGAATAGTTTTTTCATCTCTAAGAAATATCAGTTGAAAAGGGGAGATTTTATGTAGTCTATGGAGATTTTATGTAGACTAGCATACCCATCCTGAGGCATGAACCTATGCGATAGTATGGTTAATAAATGGCAAAGTTGGCCTGTAATTCACATGTATTTAGTCAAGTCAGTTGTTGTGTCTAGGTGAACAGACAAAACATCTCAAAATTTGTACAGAATAAAGGACAAGTTACTCACTAAAATAAGAATGAGTTGACATAGGCTCAATTTGAAAACAAAATGTTTTGTCTCTCTCTGCCTTTCGTTCTTGTTGTTGTATACAGCATCTCACAATTTGTTCTCACCAGTCAGTGTTTGCAGAAAATGGCTTCTTTTAATGTGAAATTCCTCTGGTGACAATAGAGAGGAATTGGAGTTATCCTGGGATGCTTTGATCTATCTCTTTCTCTGATGTTCCCTGGGCTTGGTTTTGACAGGATCTGAGCAGCGACAGACTCTGCGTAGATACAGTACCTGAAATAGAACCAGGATAGGAGTAGTATACTGTATGCACTAACTGTGGGAGGTTTTGTCTGATCTACCACCATGAGATAAAGATCTCTGCTTTCTGTTATTGCTGTGCGTGCACTGATTTCATTGTAATATCATAATTCGAAACAGTAATGGTAAAAGTTTTCATTCGAAATACACAGTCACGCTGATACAGGCAACCACGAGCACTGCATGAGGTGAAAACCACAGTACTGCCAAAGATCACAAGCATGATGGTAAATACTACAGACTTCACTCGTGATAGGGGCTACAGGCCCCGTGTAGCTCAGTTGGTAGAGCATGGTGCTTGCAACGCCAGGGTTGTGGGTTTGTTTCCCACGGGGGTCCAGTATGAAAAAATGTATGCACTCACTAACTGTAAGTCGCTCTGGATAAGAGCGTCTGCTAAAATGACTAAAATGTAAAAATAGAGAGAACAGTTTTGTTTATGCTGACTGTGTGTGAACTGTTCCCAAAGGGATGATTCATTTAAGGAATTGAAGCCACTGCGGCTGAGGCAGCTATGCCAATCCTTTGGTCCAAATAATCTATTTTGAGAAATCTTCAGACATTTTGGAGGTTTTTGAAAATAGGAAACAGGAAATGTTGGTCCTCTGTAGCTCATTTGGTAGAGCATGGTGCTTGCAACACCAGGATAGATGCTTATATAACATTGATCAACCGAGCAACAGCTGACAGTATTCACCAGTGTCTACAGTGGTTAAGTCATGTGACAATAAAACTTGAAAATGACTGAAACTGTTGTCCCCCCAGCACATGTAGGGGAGAGTGGGGTAAGTTGAGCCATTTTTTATATTCAGCGTCACTCCATCAAGGGAAATATAGTATTCTTTCTACCTACAAACAAGCAAGATTTCTGGCTCTCACAGACCTGTAACTTCTTCTTTAAGAGGCTCCTCTGTCCTCCACTCGTTACCTGTATTAATGGCACCTGTTTGACAACCTCAAACAGTCACACTCCAAACTCCACTATGGCCAAGACCAAAGAGCTGTCAAAGGACACCAGAAACAAAATTGTAGACCTGCACCAGGCTGGGAAGACTGAATCTGCAATAGGTAAGCAGCTTGGTTTGAGGAAATCAACTGTGGGAGCAATTATTAGGAAATGGAAGACATACAAGACCACTGATAATCTCCCTCAATCTGGGGCTCCACGCAAGATCTCACCCCGTGGGGTCAAAATGATCACAAGAACGGTGAGCAAAAATCCCAGAACCACACGGGGGGACATAGTGAATGACCTGCAGAGAGCTGGGACCAAAGTAACAAAGCCTACCATCAGTAACACACTACGCCGCCAGGGACTCAAATCCTGCAGTGCCAGACGTGTCCCCCTGCTTAAACCAGTACATGTCCAGGCCCGTCTGAAGTTTGCTAGAGTGCATTTGGATGATCCAGAAGAGGATTGGGAGAATGTCATATGGTCAGATGAAACCAAAATAGAACTTTTTGGTAAAAACTCAACTCGTCGTGTTTGGAGGACAAAGAATGCTGAGTTGCATCCAAAGAACACCATACCTACTGTGAAGCATGGGGGTGGAAACATCATGCTTTGGGGCTGTTTTTCTGCAAAGGGACCAGGACGACTGATCTGTGTAAAGGAAGGAATGAATGGGGCCATGTATCGTGAGATCTTGGCCAACAACCTCCTTCCCTCAGTAAGAGCATTGAAGATGGGTCGTGGCTGGGTCTTCCAGCATGACAACGACCCGAAACACACAGCCAGGGCAACTAAGGAATGGCTCCGTAAGAAGCATCTCAAGGTCCTGGAGTGGCCTAGCCAGTCTCCAGACCTGAACCCAATAGAAAATCTTTGAAGGGAGCTGAAAGTCCGTATTGCCCAGCGACAGCCCCGAAACCTGAAGGATCTGGAGAAGGTCTGTATGGAGGAGTGGGCCAAAATCCCTGCTGAAGTGTGTGCAAACCTGGTCAAGACCTACAGGAAATGTATGATCTCTGTAATTGCAAACAAAGGTTTCTGTACCAAATATTAAGTTCTGCTTTTCTGATGTATCAAATACTTATGTCATGCAATAAAATGCAAATGATTTACTTAAAAATCATAGAATGTGATTTTCTGGATTTTTGTTTTAGATGACGTCTCTCACAGTTGAAGTGTACCTATGATAAAAAATTACAGACATCTACATGCTTTGTAAGTAGGAAAACCTGCAAAATCGGCAGTGTATCAATTACTTGTTCTCCCCACTGTATATGGGGGATTGGAAATGATGCAGACAATTACGTTGATGGAAGCCACAATCTATCTGCAATATTAAAGCTGATCTACCCCCTAAAAATATATATATAATAAAAAAGGATATTGTGTATCCCTGGAAATAATCAGAATTCATGTAAACATTACATTTTTGAAAACATAGCTTGTCCAAAAAAAAGTGGTCTGTTGGCACAAGGGACAGGGCAAGTTAAGCCGCCTACAAATGTCTGTACTGAATGAAATATTACCACTACCTTTTTAAAACCATGTCTATCTTTATTTCCTAAACACACTTCAACACAATCACAATCGCATTTTGTCTTTTAATCATTTTAAGCATCTTCTAACACAGGCTTAACACCTAATAAACATTTAGTACTTTAAAAAAAAAAACTTTTAGCATGAGCTAGGCCCTGTTGTCACCTCATATCCCAGTGATAATGCCTTGAAATGGTATAGGTGCAATGCGTGTATGTTCAGTGTACACACTGGGTGCATTCGACAATGGTAAATAGAAACCTCCCTGTCGGCTCAGATTCAGCTGGCATGCTCCGTCACTTTGTGGACTCTCCTCATCGATTAACAGAGCACAAGGTGCAGCTTGTGCTATGGGTTTAGAACAGGGAACTGCAAGCCATTATATATATCTCTCTCTCTCTCTCTCCTCTCTCCTGCTATCTCTCTCTCCTGTCTCTCTATTCTTGGTCTCCTCTATCTATCTCTGGTACTCTCTGGTCTCCGTCTATTGTACTCTCTGTCTCCGTCGTTCTCGTCCTTCTCTCTATCTCTCCTTCTCCAACCCTCTCTCTCTCTGGTCTCTCGCTCTGGTCGCTCTGTCATATCCTGTGACTACTCTGTCTCTGTCTCTCCTCTCTTCTCTCTCCTCTCCAAACCCTCTCTCTCTCCTCTCTCTCGTCCCTGTCACTCTCTCTTGTCTCTTCTGCGATATAACTCGTACTCTCTCTCCTCTCTTCTCCTGTCTCTCTCTCTCGTCCTCTCTCTCTCTCTCTCTCTCTCTCTCTCTCTCCTTCTCTCTCTCCTTCTCTCGCTCTCTACATCAGGAGTAAATAACTCAGGTCCTCAAGCTTCCCAGTCCTGCTGGTTTGTCCCTGGTACGGGTACGTGATGTCTGGAAAGTGCACGTATTGTAGCTGTTTCCCATGTGTAAGTCAGTTGCTAGTTAATGTAAAAGTCATAGATGAAATCAACAGGACTGTGGCCCTCGAGGACTGGAGCTATGCTTAATAGATTCTAGTTTTTTCCATAGTCAGGAGAAGGCGGGCCGTCCTAATACGTGTGTGTAGGGCTGGCACAATTAATGTATAATCGTGTAACCGACCATAACCGTGAACAAATGTTTTTTCTTGTCATAATCATTTTAATACATTCATTGTAGGAGGGGGGATTCAACTTTATTTTCAAGTATATTTAACCAATAAACGTTTTAAATTTTTTACGAGCAGAAAGGCAGAGGAGGAACTTCAATTCCAAAAGTTCCAAGCTGTCAAAACCATTTGTTTTTGAGACGCCAATTACGGCAATTACCATGGTCATTTGTATGACAACTAATTCTTACCCAAAATCCATAATTGTCACAGCCCTACATATGTGCTTGTTTGGCCTTAGAACGTTGCCTTCGGAGCAGCTCATAGGTCAGGCTTCTGACAGACATCAAGGAATCTTGGGTGGCGGCCATTTTGCGTCATCCTCATCATTGTCATCATATGGTCTGCCATGTCATATGGTCTGCCACTATTTTTTTAATGTAGAATCCAAGCCACTTCTCGTGCACACTCTTGGATGACTCATAGAATAAATGAAAAATGAAATTTGTTTTTATATTGCCATGGGCTGTCATTGTGTTAGCACAACTGTGCAAAAGAACATGATCTTAGACAAAACATAATGCTCCTGTGGGGTTCAAGTTGGGTTGTTGAGAAAGGGAGAGTTATTGTGTGTGTGTGTGTGTGTGTGTGTGTGTGTGTGTGTGTGTGTGTGTGTGTGTGTGTGTGTGTGTGTGTGTGTGTATACAGTTGAAGTCGGAAGTTTAAATACACTTAGGTTGGAGTCATTAAAACTAGTTTTTCAACCACTCCACAAATGTCTTGTTTACAAACTATAGTTTTGGCAAGCCGGTTAGGACATCTACTTTGTACATGACACAAGTAATTTTTCCAACAATTGTTTACAGACAGATTATTTCACGTATAATTCACTGTATCACAATTCCAGTGGGTCAGAAGTTTACATACACTAAGTTGACTGCGCTTTTAAACAGCTTGGAAAATTCCAGAAAATGATGTCATGGCTTTAGAAGCTTCTGATAGGCTAATTGACATTTTTTGAGTCAGTTGGAGGTGTACCTGTGGATGTATTTCAAGGCCTACCTTCAAACTCAGTGCCTCTTTGCTTGACATCATGGGAAAATCAAAAGAAATCAGCCAAGACCTCAGAAAGAAAATGCAGACCTCCACAAGTCTGGTTCATCCTTGGGATATTACGCAAGTATAAACACCATGGGACCACGCAGCTGTCATATCGATCAGGAAGGAGACGCGTTCTGTCTCTTAGAGATGAACGTATTTTGGTGCGAAAAGTGCAAATCAATCCCAGAACAACAGCAAAGGACCTTGTGAAGATGCTGGAGGAAACAAAATAGATGGCATCATGAGGAAGGAATATTATATGGATATATTGAAGCAACATCTCAAGACATCAGTCAGGAAGTTAAAGCTTGGTCACAAATGGACAATGACCCCAAGCATACTTCCAAAGTTAAATGGCTTAAGGACAACAAAGTCAAGGTATTGGAGTGGCCCATCACAAAGCCCTGACCTCAATCCTTTAGAAAATGTATAGGGCAGAACTGAAAAAGCGTGTTCGAGCAAGGAGGCCTACAAACCTGACTCAGTTACACCAGCTCTGTCAGGAGGAATGGGCCAAAATTCACCCAACTTACTGTGGGAAGCTTGTGGAAGGCTACCCGAAACGTTTGACCCAAGTTAAACAATTTAAAGGCAACGCTACCAAATACTAATTGAGTGTATGTAAACTTCTGACCCACTGGGAATGTGATGAAATCATTCTCTCTACTATTATTCTGACATTTCACAGTTTTACTAGGATTAAATGTCAGGAATTGTGAAAAACTGAGTTTAAATGTATTTGGCTAAGGTGTATGTAAACTTCCGACTTCAACTGTATGTGTCTGTCTGTCTGTCTCTCTGTCTGTCTCTCTGTCTGTCTCTCTGTCTGTCTCTCTGTCTGTCTGTCTGTCTGTCTGTCTGTCTGTCTGTCTGTCTGTCTGTCTGTCTGTCTGTCTGTCTGTCTGTCTGTCTGTCTCTGTCTGTCTGTCTGTCTGTCTGTCTGTCTGTCTGTCTGTCTGTCTGTCTGTCTGTCTGTCTGTCTGTCTGTCTGTCTGTCTTCCTGTGCCTGTGTGTGTGTGTGTCTGTGTGCACGCACGTCTGTTGTTCTGTTTGTGTTTGTGTGTCCCGCTGTGTATGGAGGGTTACTGACAGATAATCATGGGTGCTACTCATAGTATCACCATTGTATCCCTGAGAGACTATTTAGACTGTTTGTGTGGGGAGGGGTCTTCAAACAGGTTTGACAGCAAATCGAAGTGACTTTACCAGTGACAACAACATGTAGTATTTGTTGTAGTAACTGGCACTCCCAAATTCATTTTAGCCATTGCAGTATGCGAGGGTGGATGAGTTATTTGTAATTGTGCACCTGTCCACAGAGATGTTTTGACTTTTTTTCCCCAAAACTTCAGTAAAGCATTTAATGACATTATTAAAGGGATTCTCTGAGACGTTTGTGTACTTTTTAGCCAGTAGTTCTGAAAGTAGCACTCACGAGCCAAAAGTGGTTCCCGAAAATGGCGTACTATGTCACATATGTGCAGATATGTGCACCACGTCATTGCTCTCTCTCTCTTGCTCTGCTGTGGGTGCATCATGTGTATCTTGCTAGCTGTCACTCATATGGCGAGGGGCTGAAGCTCATAGGTTGAACTGGAATTGCTAAGGGGCTGACCCACATGGGGGAAAATGTAAGGAAAATAGTGCAGCACAGCTTCTAGAAAAACAGTTGCTTTCAAACTAGGGATTTCGTGGCTAATTGAGGTAAGACAATAATTCTGCATAAGAATTCTGCATGTATGAACTACACATTGACACATCCAGCCCAAAGCGGGAGGTTTAAAAAATACTTTGTAGTCGCCAAAGTACCAAAGCATGTCTTTAACCCTATTAAAATAACCTAATCAATCTGACTTGTGTTACTGTGTGTATAATAAGCCTTGGCCTTCAGTCTATCTTTCCAAGTGTCTGGATGTGCTATTGTAACACTATTTTGACCCTTAGAAGACCAAAGACTCAAAACATTGTTTCAATTAACCACATGGGAGCATCAATCGATGAGTCTTTTCTTTTTGCTGAATATGCACTTTGATTTTCAGCACCTGCTCAAAACCATTGCATGTTTCTATGGGTTGTGTTTGAGATGGGGTATTGGGGGGAGGGCATTTTAAGAGCATTCAGTGGGAGATGTGCCCCAGTACTGCCAAATCATATCAGTGTGTGTGTGTGTTATTAGGGGAGGGGGTTCACAAGTAAGGTTGATTAGGACATATTGTACAGCATCTGAGCTTCATATCCCTTGAACAAATACAGCAGACAAACAACACAGTGTTACACATTCATTCCTTTGTGTTTTGCCCTTAATTCATGGAAACGGATCAAACAAAGTATTTTATCAGCAGTCTAGAACCTCTAAAATGGGGGCAAGCTGCCCTGCTGCTATGAGATGTGAAAAGAGGTCACTGTTTTCTTCTAGGTTGCTGTAATAATAAGATGTGGTCTTATTTAGTGATAAGATAGACGATAGTCATTTGATATAGGAGCGCTGAAAGTTCATTGATGGAGTTTGAAGATCAAGATTTAAAAGTGAGGGATAGGGGACAGAAAGAGAGATTAAGAAGGTGATGGAGGCTGACAGAGATAGCGTGAATAAGTGAGAGATGGAGAGGGATGGACAGAAGGAGGGAGGAACAATGAATATGAGTCAGCATGGTGCAGATGGGTATAATAATACATCCTACCCTCCTCTCTTTTATCCTCTCCTCCTCCCCTTGTCCTCCTCTTCTTCCTTCCTCTATCCTCTTTCTCCTCCTTTGTTCCTCTCCTGGGAGTGTGTCCCAGGCTGCTCGCAGTAATAAGGGAAGTTATGTTCATCTCATCCCGCCCATTGATTTACTGGGGATGGATGAACGCTTGTTTCAGTCAATCTGTTACACTCCTTCACTTCTGATAGAGAGACTATACTGCAGCTGTGTGTGGAGCATAGGGCCAGAGTTCAGCTATCGGAAAAGAGGAATAATTGGTAGAAAACACAACACGCTATAGGGTCAGAGAGACCATTGGAAAGAGAAAGCATGTGCATAGTATTCCAACTATATTACTTCAAGTAAAACTTTAAGTACAGCCAGTTTCATTCTATGAGGCAAGACGTATACCCTAACACAGGAATAACACCAGACCCAACATAGTGTTTTCTTATTCTGAAAAGTGGAAGCATGTACCTGTGCTTGGCAGTAGTAATAGTAATTATAGGGTTTTTCAGTGCCAAAACCATTCTGTGACTTTATTTGACCATTGGAAAACGGTGCAAATACAACAATGCAGGTTCAGTTAAATTGACCCCAAAGTCTCAGTAAGTTTGTGTGTTTGTTTTCAGGCCTGTTGGGTTGCCAGCGGTTCAGCAGCCCATCTCAGAACTACAGCACACTTCTACTGGAGGAGGACAATGGGGTGCTGTATGTAGGGGCCAGGGGGGCTCTCTACGCACTGGACACCACCAACATCTCTACACCTGGCAACCTCACGGTGAGTATTTTTACCGTACCAGCCAGGATGCTAACTTTCCGTTTCAAAAAAGTTGTATTGTATTGTAACTGGTTAACTGGTACAGCACAACATATCACATAACCGTTATGTTGCAATTGCAAAACGAACCGTCTTTCACAAATATTTTTCTCCTTCACAAATCTTTTTCTCTTTCACAAATTTTAAACAGGACAGGCTAATAATAGCCTTAAGGAGATTCAGTAAATCCTATTGTACGTTCATTTTTTGCAGTGTGAGTATTGGATTAACTGTATGGGGCAAGTTTACTCACAGGCCAACAGAATATATTAAAACTCAATGATGTAGTTGATGGGAGTAACTGGAGTATTAAAATTGAGTATTCACTGGAGTATTGAAATGTTGGCATGGTACACTGTCCCATTCTCCCACTGAGTGGTCATTATTGTCCCCCTATGTTTGCAGATTGATTGGGAAGCTTCGGCAGAGCAGAAGAAGCAGTGTCTCAACAAAGGAAAAGACAATCAGGTACAACCAATGGCGTGTAGCACCCACCGCTCAATGCACAAACTCTCTCTCTCTCTCTCTCTCTCTCTCTCTCTCTCTCTCTCTCTCTCTCTCTCTCTCTCTCTCTCTCTCTCTCTCTCTCTCTCTCTCTCTCTCTCTCTCTCTCTCTCTCTCTCTCTCTCTCTCTCTCTCTCTCTCTCAGTTTCTCTCTCTCCTTATTAGACGGCCCAATCTAGTATAACAATGATGTGGTGTTGTTATTATAATGTAATAATGTAGTCAAATCAAATCGAATTTAATTTGTCACATGCGCTGAATACAACAGGTGTAGTAGACCTTACCGTGAAATGCTTACTTACAAGCCCCTTAACTCACAATGTAGTTTTAAGAAAATAGAGTTAAGAAAATATTTGCTAAATAAACTAAAGTAATACATTTAAATAATGTAAAAATTAACACAATAAAATAACAATAATGAGGCTATATATAAGGTGTACCGGTACCAAGTCAATGTACGAGGGTACAGGTTAGTCAAGGTAATTTGTACATGTAGGTAGGGGTAAAGTGACTATGCATAGATAATAAACAGCAAGTAGGAGCAGTGTAAAAACAAAGGGGGGGGGGGTCAATGCAAATAGTATGGGAGGCCATTTGATTAATTGTTCAGTAGTCTTATGGCTTGGGGGTAGAAGCGGTTAAGGAGCCTTTTGGACTAGACTTGGCGCTCCGATACCGCTTGCCATGCGGTAGCAGAGAGAACAGTCTATGAGTTGGGTGACTGGAGTCTTTGAAAACAATTTGGCCCTTCCTCTGACACTGCCTAGTACAGTGGGGAAAAAAAGTATTTAGTCAGCCACCAATTGTGCAAGTTCTCCCACTTAAAAAGATGAGAGAGGCCTGTAATTTTCATCATAGGTACACGTCAACTATGACAGACAAATTGAGAAAAAAAAATCCAGAAAATCACATTATAGGATTTTTTATGAATTTATTTGCAAATTATGGTGGAAAATAAGTATTTGGTCACCTACAAACAAGCAAGATTTCTGGCTCTCACAGACCTGTAACTTCTTCTTTAAGAGGCTCCTCTGTCCTCCACTCGTTACCTGTATTAATGGCACCTGTTTGAACTTGTTATCAGTATAAAAGACACCTGTCCACAACCTCAAACAGTCACTCTCCAAACTCCACTATGGCCAAGACCAAACAGCTGTCAAAGGACACCAGAAACAAAATTGTAGACCTGCACCAGGCTGGGAAGACTGAATCTGCAATAGGTAAGCAGCTTGGTTTGAAGAAATCAACTGTGGGAGCAATTATTAGGAAATGGAAGACATACAAGACCACTGATAATCTCCCTCGATCTGGGGCTCCACGCAAGGTCTCACCCCTTGGGGTCAAAATGATCACAAGAATGGTGAGCAAAAATCCCAGAACCACACGGGGGGACCTAGTGAATGACCTGCAGAGAGCTGGGACCAAAGTGACAAAGCCTACCATCAGTAACACACTACGCCGCCAGGGACACAAATCCTGCAGTGCCAGACGTGTCCCCCTGCTTAAGCCAGTACATGTCCAGGCCCGTCTGAAGTTTGCTAGAGTGCATTTGGATGATCCAGAAGAGGATTGGGAGAATGTCAGATGGTCAGATGAAACCAAAATATAACTTTTTGGTAAAAACTCAACTCGTCGTGTTTGGAGGACAAAGAATGCTGAGTTGCATCCAAAGAACACCATACCTACTGTGAAGCATGGGGGTGGAAACATCATGCTTTGGGGCTGTTTTTCTGCAAAGGGACCAGGACGACTGATCCGTGTAAAGGAAAGAATGAATGGGGCCATGTATCGTGAGATTTTGAGTGAAAACCTCCTTCCATCAGCAAGGGCATTGAAGATGAAACGTGGCTGGGTCTTTCAGCATGACAATGATCCCAAACACACCGCCCGGGCAACGAAGGAGTGACTTCGTAAGAAGCATTTCAAGGTCCTGGAGTGGCCTAGCCAGTCTCCAGATCTCAACCCCATAGAAAATCTTTGGAGGGAGTTGAAAGTCCATGTTGCCCAGCGACAGCCCCAAAAACATCACTGCTCTAGAGGAGATCTGCATGGAGGAATGGGCCAAAATACCAGCAACAGTGTGTGAAAACCTTGTGAAGACTTACAGAAAACGTTTGACATGTGTCATTGCCAACAAAGGGTATATAACAAAGTATTGACAAAACTTTTTTTATTGACCAAATACTTATTTTCCACCATAATTTGCAAATAAATTCATTAAAAATCCTATAATGTGATTTTCTGGATTTTTTTTTCTCATTTTGTCTTTCATAGTTGACGTGTACCTATGATGAAAATTACAGGCCTCTCTCATCTTTTTAAGTGGGAGAACTTGCACAATTGGTGGCTGACTAAATACTTTTTTGCCCCACTGTATATAGGTCCTGGATGCCAGGAAGCTTGGCCCCAGGGATGTACTGGGCTGTACGCACTACCCTCTGTAGCGCCTTACGGTCGGATGCCGAGCAGTTGCCATACCAGTCGGTGATGAAACCGGTCAGGATGCTCTTGATAGTGCAGCTGTATAACTTTTTGAGGATCTGGGTACCCATGCCAAATCTTTTCAGTCTCCTGAGGGGGAAAAGGCATTGTCATGCCCTCTTCACGACTTTCTTGGTGTGTTTGGACCATGATAGTTCGTTGGTGACGACCCGCTCCACTACAGCCCAATTGTTGTGAATGGGGGCGTGTTTGGCCCTCCTTTTCCTGTAGTCCACGATCATCTCCTTTGTCTTGCTCACGTTGAGGGAGAGGTTGTTGTCCTGACACCAAACTGCCAGGGCTCTGACCTCCTCCCTATAGGCTGTCTCATCGTTGTCGGTGATCAGGCCTACCACTGTTGTGTCGTCAGCAAACTTAATGATGGTGTTGGAGTCGTGCTTGGCCACGCAGTCGTGGGTGAACAGGGAGTACAGGAGGGGACTGAGCACGCACCCCTGATGGGCCCCCGTGTTGAGGATCAGCGTGGCAGATGTGTTGTTGCCTACCCTTACCACCTGGAGGCGGCCCGTCAGGAAGTCCAGGATCCAGTTGCAGAGGGAGGTGTTTAGTCCCAGGGTCCTTAGCTTAGTGATGAGCTTTGTGGGAACTATGGTGTTGAATGCTGAGCTGTAGTCAATGAACAGCATTCTCACATAGGTGTTCCTTTTGTCCCGGTGGGAAAGGGCAGTGTGGAGTGCGATTGAGATTGCGTCATCTGTGGATCTGTTGGGCCGTTATGTGAACTGGAGTGGGTCTAGGGTTTCCGGGATGATGGTGTTGATGTGAGCCTTTCAAAGCACTTCATGGCTACCGGCGTGAGGGCTACGGGATGGTAGTCATTTAGGCAGGTTACCTTCGCTTTCTTGGGCATAGGGACTATGGTGGTCTGCTTGAAACTTGTACACCACCGTTCAAAGGTTTGGGGTCACTTAGAAATGTCCTTGTTTTCGAAAGAAAAGCAATTTTATTTTACGCCTCACAGGTCCTCAACTGGCAGCTTCATTAAATAGTACCCGCAAAATACCAGTCTCAACGTCAACAGTGAAGAGGTGGCTCCGGGATGCTGACCTTCTAGGCAGAGTTGCAAAGAAAAAGCCATATCTCAGACTGCCCATCTTAATCTTAAATTTGTATTGCCCAGTCTGAGATATGGCTTTTTCTTTGCAACTCTGCCTAGAAAGTCAGCATCCCGGAGTCGCCTCTTCACTGTTGACGTTGAGACTGGTGTTTTGCGGATATTATTTAATGAAGCTGCCAGTTGAGGACCTGTGAGGCGTCTGTTTCTCAAACTAAACACTCTAATGTATTTATCCTCTTGCTCAGTTGTGCAACGGGGCCTCCCACTCCTCTTTCTATTCTGGTTAGAGCCAGTTTGCGCTGTTCTGTGAAGGGAGTAGTACACAGCGTTGTATGAGATCTTCAGTTTCTTGGTAATTTCTCGCATGGAATAGCTGATCATTTCTCAGAACAAGAATAGGCTGACGAGTTTCAGAAGAAAGTTATTTGTTTCTGGTCATTTTGAGCCTGTAATCGAACCCACAATTGCTGATGCTCCAGATACTCAACTAGTCTCAAGAAGGCCAGTTTTATTGCTTCTTTAATCAGCACAACAGTTTTCAGCTGTGCTAACATAATTGCAAAAGGGTTTTCACATTTTTTAAAATGATAAACTTGGATTAGCAAACACAATGTGCCATTGGAACACAGGACTGATGGTTGCTGATAATGGGCCTCTGTACGCCTATGTAGATATTCCATAAAAAATCAGCCGTTTCCAGCTACAATAGCCATTTACAACATTACCAATGTCTACACTGTATTTCTGATCAATTTGATGTTATTTTAATGGACAAAAAAAATGCTTTTCTTTTGAAAAGAAGGAAGTTTCTCAGTGACCCCAAACTTTTGAACGGTAGTGTAGGTATTACAGACTCGGTCAGGGAGAGGTTGAAAATGTCAGTGAAGACACTTGCCAGGTAGTCCGCGCATGCTCTGAGTAAACGTCCCGGTAATCCGTCTGTCCCCGCGGCCTTGTGAATGCTGACCTGTTTAAAGGTCTTGGTCACATCGGCTACGGAGAGCGTGATCACACAGTCGTCCGGAACAGTTGGTGCTCTCATGCATGCTTCAGTGTTGCTTGCCTCGAAGCGAGCATAAAAGGCATTTAGCCCGTCTGGTAGGCTCGTGTCACTGGGCAGCTCACGGCTGGGTTTCCTTATGTAGTCCATAATAGTTTGCAAGCCCTGCCACATCTGACGAGCGTCAGAGCCGGTGTAGTAGGATTCAATCTTAGTCCTGTATTGACGCTTTGCCTGTTTGATAGTCCTTCCATATTGAGCGAGTCACTGGTACTTGCTTTTAAGCAGGAATCAGGAGCTTTTTTATGTGTCTCTGTGTGTGGAGTGAAGGTGGTCTAGAGTTTTTTTTCCTCTGGTTGCACATGTAAAACGGATTTAAGTTTTCCTGCATTAAAGTCCCCAGCCACTAGGAGTGCCGCTTCTGGATGAGCATTTTTTTGTTTGCTTATGGCCTTATACAGCTCGTTGAGTGCGATCTTAGTGCCAGCATCGGTTTGTGGTGGTAAATAAACGGCTACAAAAAATATAGATGAAAACTGTCTTGGTAGATATTGTGGTCTACAGCTTATCGTGAGGTACTCCATTTCAGGCGAGCAATACCTCGAGACTACCTTAATATTAGACATCGCGCACCAGCTGTTATTGATAAATAGACACACACCCCCACCCCTCGTCTTACCGGACGTAGCTGTTCTGTCCTGCCGATGCACGGAAAATCCAGCCAACTGTATATTATCTGTGTCGTCGTTCAGTCACAACTTGTGAAACATAAGATATTACAGTTTTTTATATTTATTGTCCCGTTGGTAGGATAGTCTCGAACAGAGCGCATCCAGTGTATTCTCCTGTGATTGCACGTTGGGTAATAGAACGGATGGTAGAGGCGGGTTACCCACTCACCAACAAATTCTCACAAGGCACCCTGATCTCCGCCCCCTGTATTTCCTTATTTTCTTCATGCGAATGACGGGGATTTGGGCCTTGTCTAGGAGCAACATTATATCCTACATGTCAGACTCATTAAAGAAAAAATCTTTGTCCAGTTTGAGGTGAGTAATCGCTGTTCTGATATCCAGAAGTTATTTTCGGTCATAAGAGACAGTAGCATCAACATTATGTACAAAATATGTTACAAACAATGCGAAAAAACACACAAAATAGCACAATTGGTTAGGAGCCCGTAAAACGGCAGCCATCCCCTCCGGCACCATGCGTGAAGGAGTCAAGTGAATGTGTTAGCCTATGTCTTCAAGATTAGGTTGATGCTATATAGATGTATAACCATCCTGTTGTGTCTCTCCTACAGACAGATTGTTACAATCACATCCGCTTCCTACAGAGGTACAATGAGACTCACCTGTACGTCTGTGGCACGCACGCCTTCAGGCCCCTCTGTGCTTACATAGTAAGAGCTGTCCTTCCTGTTGCTGGGGATTTCCTGGTTTACATGCCGGCTCCCAACAAACTGCCCATAGAGCCCCACAGTGGACATGTCATATTACCCATAAAACCTAGTGGTCAAACACGGAAATGGTTCCAAAAAAATTTTCACCGTCCATTTTTCCCATAGGGGATCTTAGAACCACTTCAAACAAGGTCTGTGTCATGTAGGCTTTCCCTGGCGGGACGTTTTGCTAACCGTGTAAATCTCTCTCTGACAAGGTGTCTTTTATCAATATATTCAGCTCGATTTACTCTCAGATTCAAAAATGCTAATTAGCATCGAAGTAGACATCATGCAACACTACAAATCCCTGCAAGCTCCTGCACGTCATCTCCAGCTGACACCTTTGCTGTCAGCTAGCTGGTTACTAGCTACTTTGATCCAAAATGAAAGATATATTGAACATTTTCATTTACTGTTCCATATTTTAACTAATATTTGTCTTATTTATGCATTTGGTCTTGTGTATTGTACAGAATACTAACCTAGTAGCAGTCAGATATTTACAATGTGCCATGAATACTAGGCTAGAATTTTGAAAATAAGCTAGATAGCTAGCTACCTACCTAGATTAAATTAGCAACATACCCTTATTTTACCAGATCCTCTTCTCCTTCAGCCTGTGGCAGTCTATATTTAATCCCTTATAATGTCTGCCAACTATATGAACGAGGTTAAATCTATTTCAATTAATGATGTCAGAATGCACTGCTGTATTAAAGCAATTCAGAACTAACTTGTTGACATGTTCAGTTGCAGATTCAAAGCCAGATTAACTCATTGCAGAATGTATCCATAATCATGAATAAGCATATTTATTTGACAAGAATGCACCTAGTCACCCATCAATCACGTCAAACACCTGAACTCCAACAATTACATCAATTAAATAAATCAAAATAGTATACAATGCATACATATGCCTTTCATACATAATATAAACATTTGACTTGAAGTAAAAATGTCATTATTTATTCATCAATGCCACAAACCTGGGACATCGAAGAGCACCATATTAACTATTATTACTATCCGAGAGCACACAGATTCTTCTCCTTTCCATTTTAGGAATTAGACCACCACAAATAACACAAAATGTAAAACAGCATACTGTGATTTTTGGTGGGTGAGTTACAAATGGAGAACAACTGGGTGTGTAAGGTATGTTTAATATAAAATACTAGGTCAACTCCAGCAGAATAAGAAACACACTTAACAGACTCAAAACAAGGAAGCCATGCCTAAACGCAGCTATATCAACACCCTTATTGTCATTTTAACAGGTCCATATTGCTGCTGTCAATTGTGAGCAGCACATTTAACACTGCATTCAGTCTGAACCCTAGAATAAGCAGGAGAACAGCATTACACAGGTGAAAAAAAGGTAGCAAAAACAGTACACCACAACACTTTTTAAAATGTTACTGAGTCCAGATGTAATCAAATCAAGAGAACAAGTGAAGGAAGCAGCATAGGGAAATTGGACGAAGGTAGGGTGGGTTTATAGAGATAAGATGGAGAGTTCCATAGTGTCCGAAGTTGAGGGACCATGGGGCATAAAAGGCATAGTCTGGAATAAGGGGTAGCTAGAGGGATGGTTGGCCATGGAATAAACATAAAATGGGGTGCTGGTGTGCTTCTGCACCCCTTTTAGGTCGTTGTCACAAAAATCCGGCCCATGTCCAGTCATACTCGGGGTCTCAGCTTGTGTCCCTCGTTGTCATTCCGTCTCAGTTGCAGCATTCATATCGTTGTCATCGTGTGTATGTGAATCACAACATTAAAGACGATGAGTGATCACAGCATTTCCACAAATTGAGCCATACACAATACAACTTAAGGCCAGTCACCACATAATGAAATGACATTTTTGCATGTACCTTTCAATTTTGAGATTTGTTGGTATTTTGGTCCATTAATATTAGTATTTTCAAAAAGTAAACATAAAAATGACAAAAACTTCATGAAAATGTATATTTTCTTTAGTTAATCATACTACCGTCATCAAAATTGTATAGAATTTGAACCACTTTAGAAATTGACATATATCAATAATTTCAAATCTCACTAAATTAAATTACACATAATTTAAAAGCCCATTTCATAGAGAGTGTTACAAACTGGACTATATTTAGTAACTTACTTTGAAGAGATGATTATTGGGTCTAAATAGGCGTTTGGCGTTTGGTAATCTAAATTCAGTACTTGTCTTTAACTGCCATTTCCCGAAAGGTAGACTCATCCCACATGCCATCTCATTTTTCTCAGCTTCAGAAGCATCTGAATAGATATATTCTCCAGACCTGCCCAGAGGGAATTGTTGATATGTAGATTTTTTAAAACATTCTAGATAACATTTTCTTTGGAGAAATACATCAAAAATGCATTTTACAAATATGTCCTCAGTATTTTACAGATTGAAAGATGAAAAAGTATTTATCCACAATCTGCTCTGCACAAGTTCGGTCCTGGAGTGTCTTAACAAAATTAAACCAAAATATTTAGGCTTACTTCATCCAGTGTCCTGAAAAATTGATTTGCACAATATGCAAAAATGTGCATATTTAATGAGTTATCTACATTTAACTGGTAAAAGTTGATTGTGATATGATTAAGGGGAAAAAAGTAGCCTGGCCTTAAGCATTGAGGACAGCATTTTGTTGACAACATGGTGGTTTACACTATGTCTACTGTGTGTGAATGATTGAGGAATCTTACCCCAGCTGTAGGTCCATTTGAGTGTGTGTGGTCACTTAGGCCTGCACATCAACCAGGACTGGGACCATTGGAGACTTGGGATGCTTGCTCTCAAAGTGCTGCTTGAATGTCTTCTGGTCTGCATCTGTAAAGGTCAAGTAAAAATGAAGGAAGTTAACAATCTGTGGCTTAGATTGAATTCAAAGTTGACACAAATGATAAACTAAGTAATACGATGCAACAAACTACTTCACATATGAAAGACTGCACCACAAAGGCCAGTACATTAGCCTACACATGGAGAGGACAGGGCAAGTGTGGACCAGTGATGCCTTGGCTGCAGTCTTCTGGTCTGCAGCTGCTCCCGTCTTCTTAGCAACCGCCGCCTTGGTATCAGTCAACAAGTTCAACTTGAGAGAGGAGCATGCGTTATATATCAATACCCTCTAAATGAATCCGCCCCTGATTACAAAGCATACCTGATTACAAATCATAGCCTATCGCCGTGATTTGTTATGTTGATTATCAGGTGTTAGAGCTGGGTTGGGACAAAACCATTCACACACTCCTGCTCTTCCGGACTTCCTGCAATGACTGAAACATTGCAGGAAGTTGAAACAGCTTACCTAGTTGAGGTGATAAGACTCAGGCTCACCAATTGGTTCTGGAATAATGTTTGCAATTTGGCAACAATAACATGACAGTAATTCTACCTCAAAAACAAATGTGTGAATACCAAATAATTTAAAACCCACCTTAGCAAGTAGGACTAAATAAGGTTACATAACCTTGCCTAGTAGCTATACTAATAATCTGCTGTCCAGAGGGTAACAGCAAACAGATCAATGTCTTCCTGCAGTAAAGTAAGCACACTGTTGACTCAAGACTAGCTAGATTACAGGTATTGTGTAAATTCAAAACTTGCCCGAGACAGTTCACAGAATTGTCAATTGAAACAAATTTAGCCAATTTACTCTTTACTAAATTTAGCTAACATTAGATAGTTAATCCAGAGATTCTTACATTTGCCTCGATTTGGCAATCTCGTCTAGATCATGGTGAGTGACGTGAAGCTTGAGACAGGTGTTTGTAGTTCTGTATGATAGCCACATTAGCAGCTAACTAGCGTTTGATTTTTGGGGGATAAATGCAGGGTTTATATATTGATAAAAGTCACTTTGTCCTATAGAGATTTACACGGTTGTCAAAACGTCACGCCAGGCAGTGGTGCAAAGTACTTACAGTGCCTTGCAAAAGTATTCACCCCCCTTGGTGTTTCAAAAAATTCACGCCAGGCAGTGGTGCACCATTAAATCCATTCTTAAAAAATTGAAAGAATATGGCACCACAACAAACCTGCCAAGAGAGGGCCGCCCACCAAAACTCACGGACCAGGCAAGGAGGGCATTAATCAGAGAGGCAACAAAGAGACCAAAGATAACACTGAAGGAGCTGAAAAGCTCCACAGCGGAGATTGGAGTATCTGTCCATAGGACCACTTTAAGCCGTACACTCCACAGAGCTGGGCTTTGCGGAAGAGTGAACAGAAAAAAGCCATTGCTTAAAGAAAAAAATAAGCAAACACGTTTGGTGTTCGCCAAAAGTCATGTGGGAGACTCCCCAAATATATGGAAGAAGGTACTCTGGTCAGATGAGACTAAAATTGAGCTTTTTGCAAGGAAAACGCTGTCTGGCGCAAACCCAACACCTCTCATCACCCTGAGAACACCATCCCCACAGTGAAGGATGGTGGTGGCAGCATCATGCTGTGGGGATGTTTTTCATCAGCAGGGACTGGTCAGAAATGAAGGAATGATGGATGGTGCTAAATACAGGGAAATTCTTGAGGGATACCTGTTTCAGTCTTCCAGAGATTTGAGACTGGGACGGAAGTTCACCTTCCAGCAGGACAATGACCCTAAGCATACTGCTAAAGTAACACTTGAGTGGTTTAAGGGGAAACATTTAAATGTCTTGGAATGGCCAAGTCAAAGCCCAGACCTCAATCCAATTAAGAATCTGTGGTATGACTTAAAGATTGCTGTACACCAGCGGAACCCATCCAACTTGAAGGAGCTGGAGGAGTTTTGCCTTGAAGAATGGGCAAAAATCCCAGTGGCTAGACATACCCCAAGATACTTGCAGCTGTAATTGCTGCAAAAGGTGGCTCTACAAAGTATTGACTTTTGGGGGGGGGGGGGGGGGGGGGGGGGGGGAGTGAATAGTTATGCACGCTCAAGTTTTCTGTGTCTTATTTCTTGTTTGTTTCACAATAAAACATATTTTGCATCTTCAAAGTGGTAGGCATGTTGTGTAAATCAAATGATACAAACCCCCAAAAAATCAATTTTTAATTCTAGGTTGTAAGGCAACAAATAGGAAAAATGCCAAGGGGGTGAATACTTTCGCAAGCCACTGTAAGTAGGGGTATCTGTACTTTACTTTACTATTTATACTTTTGACTACTTTTACTTTTACTTCACTACATTCCTAAAGAAAAGTATGTACTTTTTACTCCATACATTTTCCCTACACCCAAAACTACTCATTACATTTTGAATGCTTAGCAGGACAGGAAAATGGTCACACACTTATCAAGAGAACATCCCTGGTCATCCCTACTACCTTGGATCTGGTGGACTCACTAAACACAAATGTTTAGTGTGTAAATGATGTCTAAGTGTTGGAGTGTGCCCCTGGCTATCTGTAAATGAAAAAAAACAAGAAAATTATGCGGTCTGGTTTGCTTTAATCATTTTCTATTAATGGTATCTTCTTTTACTCAAGTATGACTATTGAGTATTTTTTTACCACTAAAGCCAGGGTAAATCTACACAAAACACAGCCGTTATTTAAAGTGTTTATAAAATTAAGGATGGAAAATCGATTGGAACCATTTCCATGTTTGACCGCTATGTTTTATGGGTATTATGACTCATACAGTAGTACTCTATTAGCATGCTGTGTTACCTGCTTTGGTGATGGTTTGATTTATATTCCCATACTGTAGTTATTGATCCTCTCTCTTCTTCTCTTTTCTGTCAGGATGTGGAGCGCTTCAGTTTCTCCTCTGGCTTCGAAGAGGGCAGGGACAGGTGTCCCTACGACCCAGCCAAGGGCTACACCGGCCTCCTTGTGGGTAAGAACCCTAATCTACCCCCTGGGCTGCACTATTTTGCCCTAACCCACTGCTAAGAATGGACTGAGAGACACTCTTCTATCCCCTGTTCTGTGTTCTATCTCTCTGATCCCTCCGGTCCTGATTGCAGACGGTGAGATGTTCTCAGCCTCCCAGTATGAGTTCCGCAGCTCTCCGGATGTCCGTCGGAACTTCCCCTTCCCCAATCTGAGGACAGAGGAGGCCCCCACCAGGTGGCTGCTGGGTAAAGACAGGCTCACCCATCCGTTATCTTATAGACATTGGTTTCATTTTGTGGCTTGATCCCATAGACATTAAAACCAGTAGATAGTGATAGCACTGACGTCATCCGCGTATTCCTATGGAAAACTCCCGATGGCGCATGAAGCCGGAAGCATTTTAATTTGAAACGCGCCATATTGCTGAATGGGGCTGAATGGCACCAAAAAACTCACTAAGGATCATGGTGAAAGTGGCCGTAACTAGCAAAGGATCATGGTCGATATAGTCCTGCCTGATAGAGTTAACCTTAACGTCTATGGAGCCTTCTAGTAGCCTGCTGGCCCGTGATTGGTCTGTGTCAAATGTAGTAGTCAGAATCACTATTTAATTAAATATCTCGATTTGTAGCGAACTTAATTCACCTTGGGGATCGAATTTGATCATAATAAACTCGGCCAAAACGGGCATCTACATTTTTTTTTCTTCTGCCAATCGGAATTTATATAGGCTTTCTAGGGCAGACTAGGGCTTTTGGCACCAATAGGTTGCTTTGCAGTAGCTGACCAACAGAGCTCTTGACTTGACTTCAGCCAGAAATTCGTTGGTGGGTGGAGAAGTATTTTTGTAATAATAATGTATAATTTTTTTAAATGTTGCTCAATCTGATTGGGTGGGCCTGGCAGGGCCTGGCTCCCCAGTGGGTGGGCATGCCTACGCCCCTGAACCGAACACTGAGGGCCTGCTTGATCCCTACAGCTATGCAATTTTAGAATACCAATGTAAACTGTAATTTTGATGAATTATACTACAACTATATGGTACTAAGCAGACCTGGGTTCAAATACATGCATATTTAAATATTTGTATATGAAATACTTATTTTCTGTGTATTTGAGTATTTTCAAATTGACTGGCAAAATCAACTACTTTTGGGGTCCCCTTGGAATGTCCTATACTCATCTTAATTTTCATGCAAGGCAAACTGGGTGGGGGCTTCTATGGGTACAGTATTAGTATTTGAAAATACACTACTTCAAATAGAGTTAGTTGTAAATACATGACAATACATTCCAATTTCCAAATACATTCCTTTAATATTCAACTACTTGTATTTTCAAATAAACTTTGTCTAAATAATTGTTTTGAAATGTATTTGAAACTAATTAAAATGCAGTAAATATTATCAAATCTAATTATTTGAACCCATGTCTGGTGCTAAGTACTGGCCGAAACATAGGGCTTTTAGTATTCATTCCTTCATAATACAAGATCTGCCTTCACCTTAGCATTCTCAAATGTATATGCTGTGGCCATCCTTGCTTTCAACCTACATTATCTCTGTACCAGTAGGTGGCATGGTAGGAGGGTTACAATAACATTAATCTCTCCATAGTATGTGCTTTTCCAGGAGTTGGACAGAATGTACACAGTGTGATGATCTGTGTTTTGTTATTGTGTGAGCAGAGGCGGACTTTGTGGGCTCGGCGCTGCTGAAGGAGAGCGTCAACAGCTCGGTGGGCGATGACGACAAGATCTACTTCTTCTTCACGGAGAGGAGCCAGGAGCAGATGGCCTACCCCAGCCAGACCAGGGTGGCACGTGTGGCCCGAATCTGCAAGGTAGGCCTGAAGGGGGACATGTGTTATGGCATTAGCGGTTGCCCAACTCAATGGAGAGAGAAAGCGGAGAAAGGGCTCAATGGCTGCAATGGAATGAATGGAACGGTATCAAACACAAGGAAACTCAAGGTTACTTGCGTAACCCAGGTTCTCTGATATTATGAGTGAGATATCTCACATGTGGGATTCACCTCGAAGAACCAATTACACACGTCTGTCGGAGACAAACAGGTCGGTGTGGCAAATGAGGTGAGCCCCTCCCCTCATTATAAGGAGCCACTTGCCCGCCCTCTGGTCATTCCCGAGCATGCCGAACTTCCTCACACTCTTGCGAGTAGGGTGAGATATCTCACTCATAATATCAGAGAACTTGGGTTACGCAAGTAACCTTGAGTTCTCTTTCAATTTTTTGTTTTGATATCTCACGTGGGATATGGCCAACTCCCATATCGCAAACGCTCTCCGAAGCCAGGTAGTCTCAACGAATCAACCCTCAAAGACCCCAACACTGAGGACAGTATGTGCGCAGTGACGTCAAGCTGGTAGAACCTGATAAAATAGGTTGCCCAACAAGCCGCAACACACATTTCCTGTAAGCAGATGCCCTTGAACAGTGCCCAAGTGTTAACCATACCTCTGGTGAAGTGAGCCCACAGGCCCTCCGGAGGCTGTAACCCCTTGCTATTATAGGCCAATAAAATACCTTCCACAATCCAATGTCATAACCATTGGTGAGAGAGGGGCCTCCACTTGCAGGTAGGTGCCCAGGACACAAAGAGTTGGTTGCTTTTGCGCAAAGCTCTCGTTCTTTCCAAGTATATGCGCAAAGCCCGTACTGGACACAAAGGATGCTCTTCTTCCGTAGAAGGGAAGGGTGGCGGGTGGAAAGCTACAAGCTCTAAGGCAAGACAATTGTAATCGCCGCTGACCTTAGGCATAAAGGCAGGGTTGGGTAACAAGGAAACCTTGGAAAAAACCCGGGCAAACGGTAGGCACGAATGGTGAACTGAAAGTGCATGCACCTCATTCACTCACTTTGCGGACGTAAGGGCGAACAGCGGCTCATCGAGGGGCTACCTTCTTCCCTCATTCTGACTAGTGTGGGGAGTATGAGACTTAGAGGAGGAAAAGCGTAAAGCAACACCCTCAGCCATGGGTTTGCCCGCTCCTCCACTTTGGTCGAATGCTCCTATCTATCCACGGATATGGTTTGGGTATGTTCACTGTAGGAACAACATCCTCTATGCACTTCCTGATGAATATACCCACTATGTCTAAAGGTCCTAGCCAGCGATTTCACAATACTGTGATGTCATCAGAGCACAACGCATGCTGAACGCGGAATGAGAGAGAGCTCGGTTTGTTGTTTTTGAACGTTTCAGGAAAAGTGTTTTCTTGAATAATTCTATTATTACTAGCCTACCTGTTTAATTTGGATCCCGCGATGCGGTTATCCTCAGTTGCTGGGTCCACTACAATCTGTCCCGGAATACTGCCAAACCCTAAGGTATGAAGAACTGTCATTGCTTGTCCATATATGTACAGTGGCTAGCGAAAGTATTCAACCCCCTTGGCATTTTTCCTATTTTGTTGCCTTACAACCTGGAATTAAAATGGATTTTTGGGGGGTTTATATCATTTGATTTACACAACATGCCTTTGAAGATGCAAAATACTTTTTTTTGTGAAACAAACAAGAAATAAGACAGAAAAACTGAAAACTTGAGCGTGCATAACTATTCACCCCCCCAAAGTCAATACTTTGTAGAGCCACCTTTTGCAGCAATTCCAGCTGCAAGTCTCTTGGGATATGTCTATATAAGCTTAGCACATCTAGCCACTGGGATTTTTGCCCATTCTTCAAGGCAAAACTGCTCCAGCTCCTTCAAGTTGGATGGGTTCCGCTGGTGTACAGAAATCTTTAAGTCATACCACAGATTCTCAATTGGATTGATTGAGGTCTGGGCTTTGACTAGGCCATTCCAAGACATTTAAATGTTTCTCCTTAAACCACTTGAGTGTTGCTTTAGCAGTATGCTTAGGGTCATTGTCCTGCTGGAAGGTGAACCTCTGTCCCAGTCTCAAATCTCTGGAAGACTGAAACAGGTTTCCCTCAAGAATTTCCATGTATTTAGCACCATCCATCATTCCATTAATTCTGACCAGTTTCCCAGTCCCTGCCGATGAAAAACATCCCCACAGCATGATGCTGCCACCACCATGCTTCACTGTGGGGATGGTGTTCTCGGGGTGATGAGAGGTGTTGGGTTTGCGCCAGACATAGCGTTTTCCTTGATGGCCAAAAAGCTCAATTTTAGTCTCATCTGACCAGAGTTCCTTCTTCCATATATTTGGGGAGTCCCACATGTGTTTGCTTATTTTTTTCTTTAAGCAATGGCTTTTTTCTGTTCACTCTTCCGTAAAGCCCAGCTCTGTGGAGTGTACGGCTTAAAGTGGTCCTATGGACAGATACTCCAATCTCCGCTGTGGAGCTTTGCAGCTCCTTCAGGGTTATCTTTGGCAGGTTTGTTGTGGTGCCATATTCTTTCAATTTTTTTATAATGGATTTAAATGGTGCTCCGTGGGATGTTCAAAACTTTGTCTCTGACCTGTTTGGAGAGCTACTTGGTCTTCATGGTGCCGCTTGCTTGGTGGTGCCCCTTGCTTAGTAGTGTTGCAGACTCTGGGGCCTTTCAGAACAGGTTGCATATATACTGAGATCATGTGACAGATCATGTGACACTTAGATTGCACAAAGGTGGACTTTATTTAACTAATTATGTGACTTCTGAAGGTAATTGGTTGCACCAGATCTTATTTAAGGGCTTCATAGTAAGGGGGTGAATACATATGCACGCACCACTTTTCCATTATTTATTGTTTAGAACTTTTTGAAACAAGTTATTTTTTTCATTTCACTTTACCAATTTGGACTATTTTGTGTATATCCATTACATGAAATCCAAATAGAAATCGATTTAAATTACAGGTTGGAATGCAACAAAGCGCCAGGACCGTCTCCTAAAGTTGATTCAGCTGTGGGATCGGAGCACCACCAGTAAAGAGCTTGCTCAGGAATGGCAGCAGGCAGGTGTGAGTGCATCTGCACGCACAGTGGGGTGAAGACTTTTGGAGGATGGCCTGGTGTCAAGAAGGGCAGCAAAGAAGCCACTTCTCTCCAGGAAAAACATCAGGGATAGACTGATTCTGCAAAAGGTACAGGGATTGGACTGCTGAGGACTGGGGTAAAGTCATTTTCTCTGATGAATCCTCTTTCCGATTGTTTGGGGCATCCGGAAAACACCTTGTCCTGAGAAGACAAGGTGAGCGTTACCATCAGTCCTGTGTCATGCCAACAGTAAAGCATCCTGAGACCATTCATGTGTGGGGTTGCTTCTCAGCCAAGGGAGTGGGCTCACTCACAATTTTGCCTAAGAACACAGCCAAGAATGGTACCAACACTGCAAATATTGACTCTTTGCATAAACTTCATGTAATTGTCAATAAAAGCCTTTGACACTTATGGAATGCTTGTAAGTATACCATAGTAACATCTGACAAAAATATATCATAACACTGAAGCAGCAAACTTTGTGAAGACCAATACTACTCATTCTCTAAACTTTTGACCACGACTGTACTTACATTCAGTAATCTTGCTCTGATTTCTCATCCTAAGGGTCCCAGAGATAAAATGTAGCATAGTTTTGTTTGATACAATCCATTTTTATATTCAAATGTAGAAACTGGGTTCTACAGTTTGAACTCCTGCTGTGTCTGGCTCCACACCCACCCCGCCTGGCCATCTAGATGTGTGAAAGTTAGTGTATAAGCTAATGATCCATCATGTATGACATTCCTGAGAGTGTGTAAACTTACATTTTGTATTACCATATAATTTTTGTGTGTTCTCTATATGTACTTGAACATGTACCATTTGACCAATTCGTCACATTTGGGCAAACTTGATACAAAATAGTCCAGTATTGCAATGCTTCACTGGATCAATCTGAAACGTTGCACACACACTGCTGCCATCTAGTGGCCAGTATCTAAATTGTGCCTAAACTGCAATATTATTTTGTGGAACAAAATAATTAATAAAAAACACGTTTTTTTGTTTGTATTATCTTTTACCAGATCTAATGTGTTATATTCTCCTACATTAATTTCACATTTCCACAAACTTCAAAGTGTTTCCTTTCAAATGGTATCAAGAATATGCATATCCTTGCTTCAGGTTCTGAGCTACAGGCAGTTAGATTTGGATATGTCATTTTAGGGTCCAAACCTTAAGAGGTTAATATATGTAGCCTTAGAAATAAAGTTAATGAAATCAATAATTTGCTAACATCAGATAACATTCATATATTAGCCATTTCTGAGACTCACTTAGATAATTATTTGGATGATACAGCAGTAGCAATACAAGGATATAACATCTACAGAAGATACAGGAATGCCTATGGGGGAGGTGTTGCTGGATATATTCAGAACGATATCCCTGTAATGCTTAAAGAAGATATCATGTCAAGTGTTATTAAAGTGTTGTGGTTGCAGGTTCACCTGCCTCATCTAAAGCCTATTCTTTTAAGGTGTTGCTATAGGCCACCAAGTTTTTCAATTGTTTTATTAATCAGTTACCCAATTAAGACAGGGGCCCCCAGTTACCAACGTGTGCCCCAACCTCCTCTCCTCTGAAATATAGTCCTTTATTTTTATTACAATATTTTTATTTTTTCTTTGCCCCCCACGTGCCTGGGCCCAGGGGCTTCAGCCCCGGTAAGCCTCTGCATTAATCCGGCCCTGAATATGACCCAGGTTATCACTCAACCAACTAGAGTGCATACCAATAGTGTTGGGTCTGGTGACATCCACATGTATTGATCATATCTTCACTAATGCTGCAGAGCTTTGCTACAAAGCAATATCAGTTCCCATTGGCTGTAGTAACCATAACATTGTGGCAATGACAAGGAAAGCCAAAGTGCCAAAGATTGGGCCTAAAGTAATTTATACGAGATCATACAAAATGTTTTCTCAGGACTCTTTTGTTGAAGATGTAAAAAGGAGGAAATGAGGAAGTGAATCCAGATGCAGCACTGGATGTATTTGTAAAATTATGAGCTGTTAAGAAACTGTTAGAGCCCTCTGGATTGATGATTAATTGAAAAATTGTATGGTTCAAATAAATTATGCAAAAGAGGTGGCAAACAAGTCAGGCTGCTCAGCTGATTGGTTGACATACTGTAAATTGAGAAATGTTGTGACTAAACTTAACAAAAATAAGAATTCATGACATTACTAAACCAAGATAAATGACATAAAACACAATGGAAAAATACTTTGGAGTACCTTAAATTATATCATGGGCAGAAAACCCAATTCTCCATTGTTCATTGAAGTTGATGGGCCATTTATAGCAATACCTTTCGATATTGCCAATCAATTCAATTACTATTTCACAAGTGGAAAAACTCAGAAGTGAAATGACAACATTGAACAGTGAACCATCATATTTTGTAAAAAATATCTAGTAATGAAAGAGAAGATGGAAAAAGAGATGGAAAAACAATTGTTATGATAAGAGATGGAAAAACTATTGTTATGATAAGCCACCAGGTATAGACAACCTTGATGGGAAACTACTGAGAATGGTAGCAGACTGTATTGCCACCCCTATTTTGGTATATCTTTAACCAAAGCCTGAAGGAATGTATGTGTCCACAGCCGTGGAAGGAAGCTAAAGTAATTCCCCATTGCCTAAAAATAGTAAAGCACCCTTTGCTGGCTCTAACAGCTGCCAAATCAGTTTGATGCCTGTTCTTAGTAAACTGATGGAGAGAATTGTGTTTGACCAAAGTAAATGCTATTTTTCAGCGAACAAGTTACTGCTGACTTTCAGCATGCATATACACTGAGTGTACAAAACATTAGGAACACCTGCTCTTTCCATGACATAGACTGACCAGGTGAATCCAGGTGACAGCTATGATCCCTTATTAATGTCACTTGTTAAATCCACTTCAATCAGTGTAGATGAAGGGGAGGAGACAGGTTTAAGAATGATTTTTAAGCCTTGATACAATTGAGACATGGATTGTGAATGTGTGCCATTCAGAGGGAGCCAGGCACACCGGTTTGAGTGTGTCAAGAACTGCAACATTGCTGGGTTTTTCACGCTCAACAGTTTCCCATTTCAAGAATGGTCCACCACCCAAAGGACATCCAGCCAACTTGACACAACTGTGGGAAGCATTGGAGTCAACATGGGCTAGCATCCCTATGCAACACTTTCGACACCTTGTAGAGTCCATTCTCCGATGAATTGAGGCTGTTTTGAGGGCAAAAGGAGGTGCAACTCAATAGTAGGAAGGTGTTTCTAATGTTTTGTACACTCAGTGTAGAGAAGGGCACTTCACTTGTACTGCACTGACCCAGATGACAAATTATTGGTAAAAAGAAATGGATAATAAGATGATAGTTGGAGCTGTATTGTTAGATTTTACTGAAGCCTTTGATGTTATTGATCATACACTGTTATTGAAGAAACTCACTTGCTATGATTTTACACCACATGCCATCACATGGTTGGAGAGTTATTTATCCAATAGAACCCAGAGAGTGTTCTTCAATAAAAGCTTCTGTAACATCAGATATGTACAGTGCGGTGTCCCTCTGGGAAGTTACCTTGGGCCGTTTCTCTTCTCTATTTTTACAAATGATTTACCACTGGTCTTACACAAAGCTAGAATGGACTATGTATATGGATGATTCTAAACTCTACATGTCAGCACCCAAAGCCAGTGAGCTCACTGAAATGCTAAATAAGGAGTTACAGTCAGTATCAGAATGGGTGATTAATAATAAACTGGTCTTAAATACATCTAAAACATTCTCTAAGACCTACTGTAAACCTTGTGTATAAACGGTGTGACCATTGAGCAAGTTGAGGACGCTAAACTCCTAGGTATAACATCGGATGGTCAATTATCATGGTCAAGTCATATTGATAAAGTTGTTGTAAAATGGGGATGGGAATGTCTGTTATAAAAATATGTTCTGCGTTTTTGACACAAAAATCAATTGTAGTAGTTGTTCAGGCTCTGGTTTTGTCCCATACTGTCCGGTAATATGGTCAAGCGCAGCAAAGAATGACCTAGCAAAGCTGCAGCTGGCTCAAAACAGAGTGCATGCCTTGCCCAGAACTAACATCAACAACATGCTTGCCAGTCTTTACTGGTTGAGGGTTAACGAGAGATGAACTGCTTCTCTTCTAGTTTTTATTATCATTACTAGTTTTTATGAGTATTACTGTAATGTAAATTCCAGTTTGTCTGCACAATCAAATAACATTCAGCTCAGACACCCATACATACCCCAAAAGACATGCCACCAGGGGTCTCTTCACAGTCCCCAAGTCCAAAAGGTATTCACGGCAACGCACAGTATTATACAGAGCCATGATGGCATGGAACTCCCTTCCATCCCCAATTACTCAAACAAACAGTAAAAGTACCTTAAAAATATATATATTAAACAACATTTCATGGAATGGCAGGAACTGTGAGGGGGGACACAGACACACAGACACACTTTAACACACACATAATTGTTTTAGTTGTACTGTTTGTACTATTTTTATTACTATTTTTAGTTGTATTGTTTGTATATCATTGTATTTTTAATTTCTGACACTCTTCCTGTCTTTCAGTGTGTCAGTGTTTTGTTGCTTGTAATGTTTTGTGTTTTTGTGTGGACCCCAGGAAGAGTAGCTGCTGCTTTGGCCAAAGCTAATGGGGATCCCAATAAACCAAAAAAACCCAGAGACAGAGTTTGTGTATTCGTCGATGTTATTCTCAGAGGCGGCCCGGAACATATCCCAGTCCGCGTGATCAAAACAGTCCTGTAGCATGGATTCCGATTGGTCAGACCAGCGTTGAACAGACCTTACCACGGGGTGCTTCCTGATTTAATTTCTGCCTATAGGTGGGGAGGAGCAGAATGGAGCCGTGGTCTGATTTGCAGAAGGAGGGGGGCGAAGGAGGGCTTTGTATCCATCTCGGAATGGAGAATAACAATGGTCTAATGTATTTTTCCCGTGAATGGGGCAAAATATGTGTTGGTGGAACGAATGCGGCCTTGGGATATGCTGTTTCCAATTTGTTCAAAGTCCCTTGTTTGCTCAAAGTCCAGAGACTGTACATTAGCAAGTAATATACTAGGAAGCGGAGGATGGTTTTCCCTTTTCCTTAATCGGACTAGAACCCCAGCACACCTTCCCCTTCTTCGGCGGCGTCTTTTTGGAAAAAGGGCTCCCGTGATGAATGGAACTGCTTTGGATCCAGCTCCGTAAAGTCAAATTTGTGGTGAGTAATCTCAGATCTGATGTCCAGAAGTGCTTGCCGGTCATAGGAAATAATACTATAAACTTTCTGAGCAAATAAAGTAAAAAAGAACACTAACATAAACAAAAGACTGCAAAGTTGGTTGGGAGCTAGCAACAGGGCGACCATCGTCGGTGCCATCTTGTTTACAATTCAGGTGAATCCCAAATGTGAGATATCACAACACATAATTGAAAGAGAACCAGCGTCCTCCGATTTCTCCCTCCACTAGACTTTGCTTGTACAAGGGCTTTCTCCCGGAATAGCTTCCCTTCTCACCAAGACTCCAGGCCAAACCTGGAGGGTTGGCAACCTTATTTTGGATACCTATATTGAGTACTTGTTGTTTTCATTTCTGAGGAGAGGAGTACTGTGCATGTTCTTGGAGTTGGCTGTGTTTTTCATTCAAGTTGTGTTCTCACCCACTGAGTGAACTTCAGGTTGATTATTGTCCTCCTTGCGTCTTGGCTGCTTTCTGAGGGGCTTCTTGGTGTGCCACTGTTGCCAGGCAGAGTAGAAGCACACCCAAGCCTGCTCCAATGGTAGACTCCTTCTTTCTCTTCCCCCTTTCTCTCTCTCTCTTTCTCTCGCTCTCCATCCCACCCCCTTTCTCTATTTTTTTCTCTCTCTCTCTCCTCTCTCTCTCTCCTCTCGCTCTCTCCCTCCCCCACTCTCTCCCTCCCCCTCCCCCCTCTCTCACCTAATTTCATTGGAGATCAGTGTCTCTCTATCAGAAACCACTCCTGGAGATACACTAGACAGTTTTTTCACTCCTCCTCCTCTCTCTTTGGCTTAGACATGTCCCCATTATTTCATGCTTGCAGTCCCCCTCTATCACAAATGCAGCTTTCTGGGAATGGGGACATGTCTGCTGCATGTGCCCACTCTGTGGTGATGGTGATGGTGGGGGGAGTAGAATGTGATGGATCCAGCCCTAACTGGGCCACAACAGCGTTCACATTAGTGCAAGCCAGACCAGTGGCACGCCACAACTGGAGGCTTGCCAAAGGTCAGTCTGTTTCTCAGCAAATCCCCAACCTCCTTTCCATTGTCAACCCACATCTACGGTGTACGGTCTACCGCACAGCCATCCAGTTGCCAGATGTGGCGTCCATGCTTCAGGCAGGCCTACTTGGCTAGCAGCCTATAAAGCTATCAGCCCTAGCCCCTGCATGGCTCCCATCATTTTTTTTTTAGACCAGTGCCAAGGGATGCACATTGTTCTCTAGTCCAGCACTAACATTTACATGTACATTTACGTCATTTAGCAGACGCTCTTATCCAGAGCGACTTACAAATTGGTGCATTCACCTTATAGCCAGTGGGATAACCACTTTACAATGTTTTTGTTTTTTTTGGGGGGGGGGGGTGGGTTGGGGTAAGGGGGGGGGTAGAAGGATTACTTTATCCTATCCCAGGTATTCCTTAAAGAGGTGGGGTTTCAAATGTCTCCGGAAGGTGGTGAGTGACTCCGCTGTCCTGGCGTCGTGAGGGAGCTTGTTCCACCATTGGGGTGCCAGAGCAGCGAACAGTTTTGACTGGGCTGAGCGGGAACTATGCTTCTGCAGAGGTAGGGGAGCCAGCAGGCCAGAGGTGGATGAACGCAATGCCCTCATTTGGGTGTAGGGACTGATCAGAGCCTGAAGGTACGGAGGTGCCGTTCCCCTCACAGCTCCGTAGGCAAGCACCATGGTCTTGTAGCAGATGCGAGCTTCAACTGGAAGCCAGTGGAGTGTGCGGAGGAGCGGGGTGACATGAGAGAACTTGGGAAGGTTGAACACCAGACGGGCTGCAGCATTCTGGATGAGTTGTAGGGGTTTAATGGCACAGGCAGGGAGCCCAGCCAACAGCGAGTTGCAGTAATCCAGACGGGAGATGACAAGTGCCTGGATTAGGACCTGTGCCGCTTCCTGTGTAAGGCAGGGTCGTACTCTCCGAATGTTGTAGAGCATGAACCTACAGGATCGGGTCACCGCCTTGATGTTAGCGGAGAACGACAGGGTGTTGTCCAGGGACACACCTGATTCAACTAATCAAGGGCTTAGTTAGTTGGTAAGTTGGGTCAGATGTGCTACTGCTGGGCTAGAACATAAATGTGCATCCCTTGGCACTGGTCTACTTCCTCCAGTTTCCTCCAGTTAATTTTCGCACAGGCAGATCGTTAGGGTGCTATGCTGTGTCAGGATCCTTGTGTCTGTTGATATACAGTGGGGGAAAAAAGTATTTAGTCATCCCCCAATTGTGCAAGTTCTCCCACTTAAAAAGATGAGAGAGGCCTGTAATTTTCATCATAGGTACACGTCAACTATGACAGACAAAATGAGCATTTTTTTTCCAGAAAATCACATTGTAGGATTTTTAATGATTTTATTTGCAATTATGGTGGAAAATAAGTATTTGGTCAATAACAAAAGTTTCTCAATACTTTGTTATATACCCTTTGTTGGCAATGACACAGGTCAAACGTTTTCTGTAAGTCTTCACAAGGTTTTCACACACTGTTGCTGGTATTTTGGCCCATTCCTCCATGCAGATCTCCTCTAGAGCAGTGATGTTTTGGGGCTGTCGCTGGGCAACACAGACTTTCAACTCCCTCCAAAGATTTTCTATGGGGTTGAGATCTGGAGACTGGCTAGGCCACTCCAGGACCTTGAAATGATTCTTACGAAGCCACTCCTTCGTTGCCCGGGTGGTGTGTTTGGGATCATTGTCATGCTGAAAGACCCAGCCACGTTTCATCTTCAATGCCCTTGCTGATGGAAGGAGGTTTTCACTCAAAATCTCACGATACATGGCCCCATTCATTCTTTCCTTTACACGGATCAGTCGTCCTGGTCCCTTTGCAGAAAAACAGCCCCAAAGCATGATGTTTCCACCCCCATGCTTCACAGTAGGTATGGTGTTCTTTGGATGCAACTCAGCATTCTTTGTCCTCCAAACACGACGAGTTGAGTTTTTACCAAAAAGTTATATTTTGGTTTCATCTGACCATATGACATTCTCCCAATCCTCTTCTGGATCATCCAAATGCACTCTAGCAAACTTCAGACGGGCCTGGACATGTACTGGCTTAAGCAGGGGGACACGTCTGGCACTGCAGGATTTTAGTCCCTGGTGGCGTAGTGTGTTACTGATGGTAGGCTTTGTTACTTTGGTCCCAGCTCTCTGCAGGTCATTCACTAGGTCCCCCCGTGTGGTTCTGGGATTTTTGCTCACCGTTCTTGTGATCATTTTGACCCCACGGGGTGAGATCTTGCGTGGAGCCCCAGATCGAGGGAGATTATCAGTGGTCTTGAATGTCTTCCATTTCCTAATAATTGCTCCCACAGTTGATTTCTTCAAACCAAGCTGGTTACCTATTGCAGATTCAGTCTTCCCAGCCTGGTGCAGGTCTACAATTTTGTTTCTGGTGTCCTTTGACAGCTCTTTGGTCTTGGCCATAGTGGAGTTTGGAGTGTGACTGTTTGAGGTTGTGGACAGGTGTCTTTTATGCTGATAACAACTTCAAACAGGTGCCATTAATACAGGTAACGAGTGGAGGACAGAGGAGCCTCTTAAAGAAGAAGTTACAGGTCTGTGAGAGCCAGAAATCTTGCTTGTTTGTAGGTGACCAAATACTTATTTTCCATCATAATTTGCAAATAAATTCATAAAAAATCCTACAATGTGATTTTTTGGAAAATATTTTCTCAATTTGTCTGTCATAGTTGACGTGTACCTATGATGAAAATTACAGGCCTCTCTCATCTTTTTAAGTGGGAGAACTTGCACAATTGGTGGCTGACTAAATACTTTTTTTCCCCCACTGTAAATGATTAGCCACAGAGCATATGTATTACAATCAACCAGAGGGGCTGTTCACAACATCACCACAACCAAAATCTCTTCAGTCTTAGACTGCCATGCTTTTCTATACCGGCTGCTTGTACCTTGTTTTGTCTTCTCTTTTGTATACTGAACAAAGCTATTGTTTCTTGATGGAACATCACTTTTTATGTACAGTACCTGTCAAAGGTTTGGACACACCTACTCATTCCAGGGTTTTTCTTTATTTGTACTATTTTCTACATTGTAGAATAATAGTGAATACATCAAAACTATGAAATAACACATAAGGAATCATGTAGTAACCAAATAATTGTCACCCTTTGCCTTGATGACAGCTTTGCACACTCTTGGTATTCTCTCAACCAGCTTCATGAGGTAGTCACCTGGAATGCATTTCAATTAACAGGTGTGCCTTCTTAAAAGTTAATTTGTGGAATTTATTTCCTTCTTAATGCGTTTGAGCCAATCAGTTGTGTTGCGGCAAGGTGGGGTTGGTATACAGAAGATAGCCCTATTTGGGCTCAATTATTTCAAGAACAGCTCAAATAAGCAAAGACAAACGACAGTCCATCATTACTTTAAGACATGAAGGTCAGTCAATCCGGAAAATGTCAAGAACTTTGAAAGTTTCTTCAAGTGCAGTCGCAAAAAACATCAAGCGCTATGATGAAACTGGCTCGCATGAGGACCGCCACAGGAATGGAAGACCCAGAGTTATCTCTGCTGCAGAGGATAAGTTAGAGTTACCAGCCTCAGAAATCGGCAATTAACTGCACCTCAGATTGCAGCCCAAATAAATGCTTCACAGAGTTCAAGTAACAGACACATCTCAACATCAACTGTTCAGAGGAGACTGCGTGAATCAGGCCAACATGGTCGAATTGCTGCAAAGAAACCACTACTAAAGGACACCAATAATAAGAAGAGACTTGCTTGGGCCAAAAACACGAGCAATGGACATTAGACCAGTGGAAATCTGTCCTTTGGTTTGATGAGTCCAAATTTGAGATTTTTGGTTCCAACCGCCATGTCTTTGTGAGATGCAGAGTAGGTGAACGGATGATCTACGCATGTGTGGTTCCCACCGTGAAGCATGGAGGAGGAGGAGGTGTGATGGTGCTTTGCTGGTGACACTGTTGGTGATTTATTTAGAATTCAAGGCACACTTAACCAGCATGGCTACCACAGCATTCTGCAGCGATACACCATCCCATCCAGTTTGCGCTTAGTGGGACTATAATTTGTTTTTCAACAGGACAATGACGCAAAACACACCTCCAGGCTGTGTAAGGGCTATTTGACCAAGAAGGAGAGTGATGGAGTGCTGCATCAGATGACCTGGCCAATTGAGATGGTTTGGGATGAGTTGGAAAAGCAGCCAACAAGTGCTCAGCATATGTGGGAACTCCTTCAAGACTTTTGGAAAAGCATTCCAGGTGACTACCTCATGAAGCTGGTTGAGAGAATGCCAAGAGTGTGCAAAGCTGTCATCAAGGCAAAGGGTGGCTACTTTGAAGAATCTAAAATATAACATATATTTGATTTGTTTAACACTTTTTTGGTTACTACATATTCCATATGTGTTATTTCACAGTTTTGATGTCTTAACTATTATTCTACAACGTAGAAAATATTTTAAAAATAAAGAAAAACCGTTGAATGAGTAGGTGTGTCCAAACTTTTGACTGGTACTGTATGAGTAATGTGTGCTGTTTTGTGTTTGTTTCGTTTGATTTGTTTACTGTGACTACTATATTTTCTGAAGGATAATGTACTGAGGCTGGGTATAAAGATATTTTTTTAATGAAAGATAGAAATGAAGAGCAACCCACTGGGCACAGACGTCAATTCAATGTCTATTCCACGTTGGTTCAAACAGTATGTGCCCAGTGGTGATGTATTAAAACCCAGCCAAACAAAGAGAGGAGAAGTCTCTGCTCTAAATGAGGTGCACAATCACTCTATTCAGGCTTCTTCTCAATACCATCGCCTGCGAGCGCTTCCTCTGCTGCTGCCCGAAATGCAATTAGAGTAAATATGCACACTGTGAGCAGAACCGAACACTCTCATTCAGTGGTACTTGGTACTGCTTCTAGTTGTAGTGGGGGTTGTGTGAGTGAGTGTGTGTGTGTGGGGGGGGGGGGGGGGGGTATACAGTATGAGTGTGTGGTACGCGTATGTACAGTTGAAGTCGGAAGTTTACATACACCTTAGCCAAATACATTTAAACTCCGTTTTTTCACAATTCCTGACATTTAATACTAGTAAAAATTCCCTGTATTAGGTCAGTTAGGAGCACCACTTTATTTTAAGAATGTGAAATGTCAGAATAATAGTAGAGAGAATGATTTATTTAAGCTTTTATTTATTTCATCACATTCCCAGTGGGTCAGAAGTTTACATACACTCAATTAGTATTTGGTAGCATTGCCTTTAAATTGTTTAACTTGGGTCAAACATGTCGGGTAGACTTCCACAAGCTTCCCACAATAAGTTTGGGTGAATTTTGGCCCATTCCTCCTGACAGAGCTGGTGTAACTGAGTAAGGTTTGTAGGCCTCCTTGCTCACACAAGCCTTTTCAGTTCTGCCCACACATTTTCTATAGGATTGAGGTCAGGGCTTTGTGATGGCCACTCCAATACCTTGACTGATGTCCTAACCGACTTGCCAAAACTATAGCTTGTTAACAAGAAATGTGTGGAGTGGTTGAAAAACAAGTTTTAATGACTCCAACCTAAGTGTATGTAAACTTCCGACTTCAACTGTATGACCATGAGTAAACCTGTGTTGATGTGCTTGTGTGTGACTCTGATGACCTGTTTATCTCTAACCTCGCTCTCCTCCCTCCAGGGTGACTGGGGGGGCCAGAGGACCTTGCAGAGGAAGTGGACGTCCTTCCTGAAGGCCAGACTGGTGTGCTCCGTCCCTGACTACGAGCTCCACCTCAATGTGCTGCGTAGCGTCTTCGTACTGGAGGGCCCAGACGTACACAGCACCGTCTTCTACGGAGTCTTTGGCCTGGAATGGTAAGACGATGGAGCAATGGGAGTTGTTGTTTACCATCCTGATACTGGCTAATTGTCTACTGCCTTGATACTGTTGTATGGTCATGCACAACTTAGTATGCGGAGATTTGTGGTCTGTTGACTAGTGTAAGTAGATAGTAGTTTGTTGAGAGGCTGCGGTAGGGGCATATGAATGGCAATGTCAAGCGAAGGTATAGAATAGCTGGCAGCAGGGGTGTGTGTGTTTGTGTTTTGTGCTGATATGCAGAGTCATGCTGCATCCAACTGTCCTAAGGGGACTGAGAATCAGATGGAGGGTAAAAACAGCAAAATTTAGCATTCTCTCTCTCACGCTCACTGGCTCTCTTCTCCTCTGTATTAGGACTCTCTCTCTCCCCCTCACTCGTTCTCACACTGTCTCATTCTCTCCCCCTCCCCCATTTATATCAAGCTAAAGTGCGCCTTTGTGAGATAAGCCCTTGGGCAACACTGTATTACTCTGGGCAGATACCAGAAGTCCTATGTCATTTTCTTCACTGGGTTGGTTGTGAGGGGCTAACAATACAATAGGCTTTACAGTGACTCAGACAGGCTTATCATACCTGAAGGCGAGATATTTCACCTGATTCCCACCTACTAGCACAATTTGTTTCCATATACAGGACAAAACAACTCTTTCTTTCCTAGGTACTCCCCAACAGAACTTTATTAATGTCATGTGGCTTAGAGTTTGTGTCCCAAATTACACCCTATTTTGACCAGACTCTATTTGGTTCTAGTGAAAAATAGTGTGTCATTTAGATACAGTCATCCAGTATCAGTCTTTCACCCAAGCATGTTGTCAGAGGTAGTTAGAATTATACCAATACGATTGTGAGCACATGCAGGGCCAGCATTATATATATTGAAATATTGATCATTTATTTGACCGAGAAGCACACTGACTGAAAGACGCATCAATCTCAGATAAAGCATCCGAGCGAGTGAGACAGCGCCCCTCTGTCTCAGTATTTGTAGACCATGTCCCGTGTAGCTCAGTTGGTAGAGCATGGCGTTTGCAACGCCAGGGTTGTGGGTTCGATTCCCACGGGGGGCCAATATGAAAATGTATGCACTCACTAAGTCGCTCTGGGATAAGAGCGTCTGCTAAATGACTAAAAAAAATTCCGACTATTTCTGGCCAGACAGCATCAGATATATAGGGCTACATCTAGTAAAACAGAGGGGTGCTGTTTTGCTTTCTCCGGTGAGAGAGTTTCAGCAGAGAGGAAGAGAGGAAGAGAGTGGGCTCACTCTCACCAAAATCTGTCCATAATAAGCCCAATGCGTTTCTATGGGCATAATATGCAGATCTAAGCCTTCCCGCCTATGGGACAGCGACTCCCATTGTTAGGGCGGAGACATGAGCCTCTCGTGATTATATACAGATCTCTGGTTTCAGCCTCTTGCGAATTGGAAAGAAAAGTTGGTGGGTGCACTGTTACGATGCTGGTTTCCCCTTTCGGAGTGCTCCGAAAGCAATGAGTATGTATGTGTCTGGTTTCTCTGTCCTGATAACGAAGGTTACGTATGTAACCACGGTTATGTGAGCTATATGGCTCACTACAATATATTGGTATCACTCCGCGGCGGAGGGATACATCCGAGGTGAGGATTTACAGATTTACTCCCGTGTACACCTGTGTCACGGCTGGTGTCCGGCCCTATACAGTTGAAGTCGGAAGTTTACATACACTTAGGTTGGAGTCATTAAAACTCGTTTTTCAACCACTCCACAAATTTCTTGTTAACAAACTATAGTTTTGGCAAGTCGGTTAGGACATCTACTTTGTGCATGACACAAGTAATGTTTCCAACAATTGTTTACAGACAGATTATTTCACTTATAATTCACTGTATCATAATTCCAGTGGGTCAGAAGTTTACGTACACTAAGGTGACTGTGCCTTTAAACAGCTTGGAAAATTCCTGAAAATTATGGCTTTAGAAGCTTCTGATAGGCTAATTGACATCATTTGAGTCAATTGGAGGTGTACCTGTGGAAGTATTTCAAGGCCTACCTTCAAACTCAGTGCCTCTTTGCTTGACATCATGGGAAAATCAAAAGAAATCAGCCAAGACCTCAAAAAATATATTGTAGACCTCCACAAGTCTGGTTCATCCTTGGGAGCAATTTCCAAACGCCTGAAGGTACCACGTTCATCTGAGATGTCTCCTAGAGATGAACGTACTTTGGTGCAAATCAATCCCAGAACAACAGCAAAGGACCTTGTGAAGATGCTGGAGGAAACAGGTACAAAAGTATCTATATCCACAGTAAAACGAGTCCTATATCGACATAACATTTACATTTATTTACATTTTACATTTACATTTAAGTCATTTAGCAGACGCTCTTATCCAGAGCGACTTACAGTTAGTGCATACATTATTATTTTATTTTTTTTATTGTAATTTTTACCCCCCGTGAAAGGCCGCTCAGCAAGGAAGAAGCCACTGCTCCAAAACCGCCATAAAAAAGCCAGACTACGGTTTGCAACTGCACATGGGGACAAAGATCGTACTTTTTGGAGAAATGTCTACTGGTCTGATGAAACAAAAATAGAACTGTTTGGCCGTAATGACCATCGTTATGTTTGGAGGAAAAAGGGGTGTAGCTTGCAAGCTGAAGAACACCATCCCAACCGTGAAGCACGGTGGTGGCAGTGTCATGCTGTGGGGGTGCTTTGCTGCAGGAGGGACTGGTGCACTTCACAAAATAGATGGCATCATGAGGAAGGAAAATTATGTGGATATATTGAAGCAACATCTCAAGACATCAGTCAGGAAGTTAAAGCTTGGTCTCAAATGGGTCTTCCAAATGGACAATGACCCCAAGCATACTTCCAAAGTTGAGGCAAAATGGCTTAAGGACAACAAAGTCAAGGTATTGGAGAGCCCTGACCTCTATCCTATAGAACATTTGTGGGCAGAACTGAAAAAGTGTGTGCGAGCAAGGAGGCCTACAAACCTGACTGTCAGGAGGAATGGGCCAAAATTCACCCAACTTATTGTGGGAAGCTTGTGGAAGGCTACCCAAAATGTTTCACCCAAGTTAAACAATTTAAAGGCAATGCTACCTAATATTAATTGAGTGTATGTAAACTTCTGACCCACTGGTAATGTGATGAAATAAATAAAAGCTGAAATAAATCATTCTCTCTACTATTATTCTGACATTTCACATTCTTAAAATAAAATGGTGGTCCTAACTGACCTAAGACAGGGAATTTTTACTAGGATTAAATGTCAGGAATTGTGAAAAACAGAGTTTAAATGTATTTGGCTAATGTGTATGTAAACTGTGTACAACTGTATATAGACCCCATGGCCGCGAGACACGTTGTCTACATCATTTTTGAGGCGCCTCTAGCACCGTAGAGGATTGGAGTGATCCATATATCTCACATAACCATGGTTACATACGTAACCTTTGTTATGTTTCACTATATTGGATCACTCCAATATATTGGTATACCCGTACCAGATTTAGTCGGTGCTAGAGGGACCTGGCCAGCCAGCTGTGAAGTCCAAGCGCGGAACCGAGACACAGGGGCCGTCAATGTGGATGGGGGGTCCCGGCACAGTCCCCGGAAGGTGAGGCGACGCCCAGGACCGCTGAACCAACCGCAGAGGGAGGTGCCACATTTACCCGATAGTACCTTGCCAAGGTGCAAGAGGAAGCCAAGTCTAGGTCCAAAAGGCTTTTTAACAGCTTCTACCCCAAAGCCATAAGACTCCTGAACAGCTTATCATGGCTACCCAGACTATTTGCACCCCCACCCCATCACACCCAAGGGTGTGTCAGGGGTCCTGCCGGGGCCCGCCTCTCCTCTGGAGCCCCGAGCGCCTAGGTCCCCCAGGCACATCCCTATGGCGGTGACAGTTAACAGGTTGTTGCTTCACCGCACACTTTGCCCCTCTCCACTGTCGTCCCTCAGCACGAGGTGATGGGGTAGGAGAGGGACCGCCCCCCATCATTCAGGTGCAGGTGGGTGGCGACGGTCCGTCTGCCTTGGACCCGGGGCCCGAGGAGGCGGCATGAACCGTCTCAGGGTCTTCCGGTCCCTATGAACCGTATCGGTCTGCTCTGGAGAGCAGCTGGCAGACGGGATTGGGACAGCCAGAGATGGTGCCAGGAGGTAGCCACCTGTGCCATGGCCCGTCTGTTGGCGCGGGCCACATCCCTCTGGAGCAAGGAAAGCAGGCGAGACACCTCCATCGCTTCCTGGAGAAGCTCATCTGTGCCCTCCTGCAGCTGGGGCAACAGAGTCTGCAGGTAGGCCTGCAGCAGCATGGTCGCATTGGTAAGGCGGCCAAGAGAGCAGAGGGACCCATATGTGGCTTTCAAGTCCGCATCAAAGACTCTGGGGGGGTCCCGGCTTCAGTCACGGGTTCCGCCCTATAATCTCCCGGTCCGGGAGGACCAAGGCAGCTATCATGGTGTCCATGGTCAAGGTACTCCGGAGGCCGAGTGGACTCCGCGCCCGCAACATAAACTCCTGTCCAAGTCTCAGCTGTGAGTTGGAAGCCCCTGCAGAGGCCCGCTCTCTCCAAGGGCCTCGCAGAACTCAGCAGAGATGGGAAAGATGGAGAGTCATCACTGTCCACCAGTTTAATGTCCAGACAGTGCTCCCTAAGTTGAGTAGGCTCCTCCATAGCTCTCGAGCACTGGGGGCGATTATGCCCACGTTGCCTGCTTCTGATTGCCTTCAGCCGGTACCGCCTATCATGGCCAACAGGGACAGCTGTCGTCGCACCGAAGCTATCAACTCCATGACGCAGGCATGCCCTCCGTTCAGGTGGTCCAGCGGTCCGACTCCTGCCCCCGTCCAGACCTGGCAGCAGATTGGCTCTGCCTGCGGTGGCTCCGGCCACGCTTCCTGGGAGGGGTACTGGGCCCAGTAGAGGGACTAACAGCTCGCTGGCGCACCACTCCTGAGGGAAGGAGCTCGTCCCCAGCCTGAGCCCGGCCGACCAATTTGTGCATGGCCTCCAATCGCGCCAGGCGCAGGCGTTCTGAGAACACCACACAAAACAGGCATCCAGTAGGGTGCTCCACCACCCTCTCCGCGTGGCTCAAAGCCAGGCAGTGCATACACAAGGAATGTGGATCACCAGGGGGGATATCCACCATCACACCTGTCACAAAGGGAAACCACAAGCTCAGCCAAGCCAACAAGGCCATGGAGCAGGGGTCCGGCGCCCTGGGAGAGCTTATGTCATGACCCACTTGGAGGAATAGGAACCCGGTGAGGGATATATTACCCAGTACCTCTGCAAAAACCTGGGGAAGACCTGTGTGGGAAAAACAGGCAGACAAAAAAACTGCAACCAGGTAATGGATTTGATTTATTTGTTTTTGTTTTAAGCCAACTACAATATTACCTAGCCGGTTTAATATCCAAGCAGCAAATACAGCACCATATGATGGAGTAACTCCGTTAAGTAACTCCAAAGTTAATGTCTCAAAGTAGTGGAAAGCCCACCACGATACTCTTACACTCTGCAGGGGAAAGAACAAGAAAAAAACCCTGCAGGGTAATTAGCAGAGAAGGAGCAGCATGTTAAAGCAATTCACAACACACACATAGACCAGTCGGCAAGTTGTGTAAGGTAAATTACAGTTTGTGCAGCAAGAACCACCATACTAATGGATGCACACGCTAACCAAACACAAGTACGACAAACAACTGCCGGAAGATGCAGAGCGCAGCGAGTGGAGCACTCAAGAGGAGGGGCTGGCCATGTGGCCAGCTGCTCCAGGCTGCAAACAGCCAGTGAGTATACTTCCATGCAAGATATTACACTTAACAGTGACTTACCAAGCGAACTTCAGAAAGTTTGTACCTCAAACCATGAAAATGAAGGAGAACGTGTGTCGCGGCCATGGGGTCTATAAATAGGGGCGCACCCCAGCCGTGACACAGGTGTACACGGGAGTAAATCTGTAAATCCTCACCTCGGATGTATCCCTCCACCACGGAGTGATACCAATATATTGGAGTGATCAAATATAGTGAAACATCAAATCAAATCAAATTTTATTTGCCACATGCGCCGAATACAACAGGTGTAGACCTTAGAGTGAAATGCTTACTTACAAGCCTTAACCAACAATGCAGTTTTAAGAAAGACAAAAAAAGTGTTAAGTAAAAAATAGATAAGTAAAAAATAAAAATAGCAAATAATTAAAGAGCAGCAGTAAAATAAAATAACATTAGGGAGGCTACATACAGGGGGTACCGGTACAGAGTCAATGTGCGGGGGCACAGGTTTACACCTCCTGCGCCTGACTCCGTCCAAATCACCCGCCACAGAATCACACACCCGAACAGCATGGAGTCAGCAGGAGCGGGGAATATGCCTGGAGTCGTTGAGCGGGTCCGGGAGCATTCCAACATGTAAGCCAGCTTGGGCGAAGCGATGGATCAGGTTCTCCAGGCCGTCCAGCGCCTGGAGAGGAGAGGACCCGACCCTGCGGAACCAGCTGAGCGACCGGATCCAGCCACCCACACACCAGCACCCAGAGGTATTCAACTGTCCCGACCGAGGGAATACGATGGGACAGCGGCCCGCTGCCAGGGTTTCCTCCTGCAGCTGGACCTCTATTTCAACACCATCAGCCCTGCTCCATCGGATCGGGAGAAGGTGTCCGCCCTCGTCTCCTGCCTCTCGGGGTAAGCCCTGGAGTGGGCCAACACGGTCTGGAGTGAAGGAGGAGACGCGTTGGACAACTACAGAGAGTTTGCTCACCTCTTCCGGGCAGTCTTCGATCATCCCCCCGAAGGAAGAGAGGCGGGCGAGCGTCTGGTCCATCTGAGGCAGGGGACGAGGACCACTCAAGACAGCTCCAGTGTCACTCTTGTGGCAAGAGAGGACATTCTGCTGCACGATGTCGTCACAGTTCTTCTGGTTCTGGAGGCGGCAGGTAGGGCACTCTCGCGTCACCCCAGGTAGCGCAAACCCACACTCATTCAGAGCCCTCTGCTGCGCATTTCACCATCCACGTCAACTTCCCTGATTACACAGTAGTTCCCCAATGTAAGGCGCTGGTAGATTCAGGCGCAGCTGGGAACTTTATGGACAGGTCTTTAGCTCTTAGTCTATGTATTCCATTGGTTCGCCTGTCTGTTCCATTACCCATCAAAGCACTTGACAATCGACCATTAGGGTCAGGTTTTGTTAGGGGGGTTGTAGCACCAGTCACTATGATTACGCAGGAGACCCATAATGAGCAAATCACGTTTCACATTATTCAGTCCCCTGATTTCCCTGTTGTGATGGGGCTTCCCTGGCTAGCACTACACGACCCCACCTTTTCATGGCCACAGAGGGCTCTCACGGGGTGATCGTGATTGTCAGGGTAGGTGTCTAGCTCTTTCTGTTGGTGCGACCACGGTGGAAAGTCCAGACAATACCTCCACCGTGCGCATTCCCCCCGAATACCTTGATTTGGCGCACACGTTTTCCAAAACTCAGGCGACCAAATTACCACCCCATCGGGCGGGGGATTGCGCGATAAACCTCCGGTTAGACGCTGTGCCGCCCAGGAGTCATGTATATCCCGTCGCAGGCGGAAACGGAGGCTATGGAAACATATGTCTCCGAGTCCCTGCGTCAGGGGTTCATACGTCCTTCGACTTCACCCGCCTCCTCAAGTTTATTTTTCGTGAAGAAGAAAGACGGGGGTCTGCGCCCTTGCATTGATTACCGTGCACTTAATAAAACGACCATTCGCTATAGTTATCCTCTACCCCTCATTTCCTCTGTGATCGAATCAATGCATGGGGCGCGCTTCTTCACGAAATTAGATCTCGGGAGTGCGTACAACCTGGTGCGTGTCCGGGAAGGGGACGAGTGGAAGACAGCATTTAGCACAACCACGGAGCATTATGAATACCTGGTGATGCCGTACAGGTTGATGAATGCTCCAGTCCTTTGTGAACGAGGTGTTTCAGGACATGCTTGGTCGCGGTGTGGTGGTCTACATCGATGACATCCTGGTGTATTCCGCTACTCGCGCCGAGCATGTGTCCCTGGTTCGCAGAATGCTGGGCCGACTGTTGGAGCATGACCTGTATGCCAAGGCAGAAAAGTGTCTGTTCTTCCAACAATCCGTCTCATTCCTCGAATACCACATCACCAACTCAGGTGTAGAGATGGTGGGATACCGCATTTCAGCCGTGTGTAATTGGCAGACTTCAACCACGGTAAAGGAGGTGCAGCGCTTCCTTGGCTTTGCCAATTACTATCGGAGGTATATCCGGGGCTTTGGCAAGGTTGCAGCTCCCATCACCTCTCTGTTGAAGGGTGGGCCATCCCGGCTCCGCTGGTATGCTAAGGCTGACAGGGCTTTCAGTAACCTGAGGGCTCTGTTCACCTTAGCCCCGGTACCTGCCCATCCCGATCCATCATTGCCCTTCATGGTGGAGGTGGATGCGTCCAAGGTAGGGGTAGGCACTGTCCTATCCCAATGCTCGGGCACGCCACCCAAGCTCCGCCCCTGTGCCTTCTTCTCTAAGAAGCTCAGCCCGGCGGAGCAGAACTATGATGTTGGTGATCGGGAGCTGTTGGCTGTTGTCAGAGCCCTGACAGCGTGGAGGCACTGGGTTGAGGGGGCGAAACACCCTTTCCTCGTCTGGACTGACCACCGTAACCTGGAGTACATCCGGGCAGCGAGGAGGCTGAACCCTCGCCAGGCCAGTTGGGCCTTGTTCTTCAGCCAGTTTGATTTCACGCTGTCCTATATACCAGGCACTAAGAACGTGAAGGCAGACGCACTGTCATGGCTGTACGACACAGAGGAGAGACCCATAGACAACACCCCCATACTCCCGGCCTCCTGCATTGTGGTGCCGGTGGTGTGGGCGGTGGACGCGGACATAGAGCGGGCATTACGCACAGAGCCATCTCCACCTCAGTGCCCAGCTGGGCTGCGGTACATGCCGTCTAGTGTCCGTGATTGTCTTATCTATTGGGCACACACTTCCCCCTCCTCTGGTCACCCAGGCATCGGCCGTACAGTGCGCTGCCTGACCGGGAAGTACTGGTGGCCTACCTTGGCTAAGGACATGAGGGTGTATGTCTCCTCCTGCTCGGTGTGCGCCCAGAGAAAGGCATCTAGGCACCTTCCAGTGGGTAAGTTACATCCCTTACCAGTTCCACAATGGCCATGGTCCCACTTATCGATTGACTTTCTAACTGATCTTCCCCTCTCTCAGGTAACACCACCATCCTGGTCGTTGTGGACCCCTTCTCTAAAGCCTGCCGCCTCCTTCCTCTGCCCGGTCTCCCCACGGCCCTGCAAACTGCGGAAGACCTGTTTACTCACGTCTTCCGGCACTACGGGGTGCCAAAGGACATAGTGTCTGACCGTGGTCCCCAGTTTACGCCTAGGGTCTGGAAGGCGTTCATGCAATGTCTGGGTGTCTCGGTCAGCCTGGGTTTCACCCCGAATCTAATGGGCAGGTGGAACGGGTGAATCAGGATGTGGGTAGGTTCCTGCGGTCCTACTGCCAGGACCGTCGGTGTTCTTGCCATGGGCCGAATATGCCTAGAACTCTCTCCGCCACTCCTCCACCAACCTATCACCATTTCAATGTGTTTTAGGGTATCATCCGGTCCTGGCACCGTGGCATCAGAGCCAGACCGAAGCTCCTGTGATGGACGACTGGTTTCAGCGCATGGAGGAGATGTGGAAAGCCGCCCACGTCCACCTCCAGTGCGCCGTGCGTTGCCAGAAAGCCAATGCTGACTGCCACCACAGTGAGGCCCCGGTCTTTGTACCGGGTGATTGGATCTGGCTCTCGACCCGGAACCTGCCCCTCCGTCCTGCCCTACCGGAAGCTGAGCCCGCGGTTTGTGGGGCCGTTCAAAGTCCTGAGGAGAATTAACGAGGTTACGTATTGGTTGCTGCTCCCTCCTGATTATCGTATTAACCCCTCGTTTCATGTATCTCTCCTTAGGCTGGTGGTGGCTGGTCCGCTCCAGGAGTCTGAGGTGAGGGAGGTCCTTCCGCCCCTTCTGGACATCGAGGGGGCCCCGGCGTCCGTTCCACCCTGGATTCGAGGTGTCGGGTGGGGAGCCTTCAGTACCTCGTGGAGTGGGAGGGGTACGGTCCGGAGGAGCGGTGCTGGGTCCCGGTGAAGGATTTCCTCGATCCCTCCCTGTTGTGGGATTTCCACCGTCGCCATCCGGCTCGCCCTGCTCCGCGTCCTCCTGGCCGTCCCCGAGGTCGGTGTCGGCACGCTGCTGGTGCTGCACGTTAAGGGGGGGGGGGGGGGGGGGGTACTGTCACGACTTCCTCCAAAGCTGCCTCCTTGTTCCGGCAGGCTTCAGCGTTCGTCGTCACCGGCCTTCCAGCCACTGCCGCTCCTCTTCTCATCATTCCATTTGTTTTGTTTTGTTTTTTTACACACACCTGGTTCATATCCCCTCATCAGTCCCTGTATAAGTATTCCCTCTGCCCCCCATGTCTTTGTGTGTGATTGTTTCCATGTGGAGGTGTCGATAGCTCGGTGGAGCATTATGTACTTTGTTTCCGGGATATTCACCCATGTGTTTTGTTTTCCCCGGTGCGCCATTAAGTCGCACTGTAGTTGTTTTACGCATTGCTGCGAACCGCTGTATTGGCCGAATAAACCATTATTCTGTGATTTACACCTCCTGTGCCTGACTCCGTCCAAAGCACCCGCCACACTCTGTCTCTTTCTCATGTGAATGACGGGGATTTGGGCCTTGTCAGGTGTCTGTAGAATATCCTTCGGTCCGACTCGTTTAAGAACAAATCTTTGTCCAAATGAGGTGAGTAATCGCTGTCCTGAGATCCAGAAGCTATTTTTGGTCATAAGAGACGATGGCAGAAACATTATGTACAGAATACATTTCAAATAACGCGAAAAAACACACATAATACTACAAATGGTTAGAGGGCTGTAAAACAGCAGCCATCTTCTCTGGCGCCATAACGTTGAGGGAGAGCGCACACCTGAGCATGCATAGAAGTAGGCCTACCTGGCCTGAGCATGCATAGAAGTAGGCCTACCTGGTCTGCTGCATGCGAATGTAGGAAAGTGCCCATTTGGCAATGTCTGATTTCTGATTGTCTTAACTCACCACGTCCACCACTAATAAGCTGAGCTTCTCAGTAATTTTTTCTTCACCTCACACATTGTAAACAAAGTATTTTATTTTTATTTTTCATCCATTGCAAATGATAGTTCCTCAGTATTTGAAAAATCATTCCAACACTCCCGGCCTCGATAATCACCAAGCCTCGGTGTGAAAGAGCAAAATATAATGATCTGATGATCACATACAGTGGGGAAAAAAAGTAGGCCTGTCGAATCAGTTCGACAGGCCTCTGATATCTATAGCAGGCACGTTTTTTTCACGGGACCTCCTATGTGTGCACGCACTAGAGTGTTAGAGTAAAGCCCATGGGCAGCTCGTGAGTTTCAAGTTTGGGGAAGCTTACAATTTATCCTACCATTTCTACCGATCTGCGTGAAAGTTATGATTGTTTTTATATGCACATTTTTGTGGAACAGTTTCATTTCAATAAAAATGTTTTCGTTTCTCAAAATCATTGTCACATGGTTAATCATAAAAATCTGAAGTAAAATTATAAAAATCTAAAAGTTAAAATTCAACTAAGGCGAGAGCACCATCCTTGATACACTGTGGTACATTGGCGGCTAAAGAAATTAGCGCATAGAACTCAGAGATAGCCTATAAGCCAATGCAGGAGTAGGTCTATAACTTTGTCAACTAAGTAAAATACATAGGCCTAAAGCCGACCAAATAAAAACAGTAGAAAATATCCTGATGAAAATTCTGGTTCTTTCAATCACATTCATCTCTCTACTCCCTTTCTATGTCTTGACTTGAGCTATTGCTAGTGAAGTGCAACATTGTATGAAATCATCAACTGGATCCGTCCCGTTTCCACCGGATATACAGTGGGGGAAAAAAGTATTTAGTCAGCCACCAATTGTGCAAGTTCTCCCACTTAAAAAGATGAGAGAGGCCTGTAATTTTCATCATAGGTACACGTCAACTATGACAGGCAAATTGAGGAAAAAAAATCCAGAAAATCACATTGTAGTGGTGGAAAATATGGTGGAAATTAAGTATTTGGTCACCTACAAACAAGCAAGATTTCTGGCTCTCACAGACCTGTAACTTCTTCTTTAAGAGGCTCCTCTGTCCTCCACTCGTTACCTGTATTAATGGCACCTGTTTGAACTTGTTATCAGTATAAAAGACACCTGTCCACAAGCTCAAACAGTCACACTCCAAACTCCACTATGGCCAAGACCAAAGAGCTGTCAAAGGACACTAGAAACAAAATTGTAGACCTGCACCAGGCTGGGAAGACTGAATCTGCAATAGGTAAGCAGCTTGGTTTGAAGAAATCAACTGTGGGAGCAATTATTAGGAAATGGAAGACATACAAGACCACTGATAATCTCCCTCGATCTGGGGCTCCACGCAAGATCTCACCCCGTGGGGTCAAAATGATCACAAGAACGGTGAGCAAAAATCCCAGAACCACAAGGGGGGACCTAGTGAATGACCTGCAGAGAGCTGGGACCAAAGTAACAAAGCCTACCATCAGTAACACACTACGCCGCCAGGGACTCAAATCCTGCAGTGCCAGACGTGTCCCCCTGCTTAAGCCAGTACATGTCCAGGCCCGTCTGAAGTTTGCTAGAGTGCATTTGGATGATCCAGAAGAGGATTGGGAGAATGTCATATGGTCAGATGAAACCAAAATAGAACTTTTTGGTAAAAACTCAACTCGTCGTGTTTGGAGGACAAAGAATGCTGAGTTGCATCCAAAGAACACCATACCTACTGTGAAGCATGGGGGTGGAAATATCATGCTTTGGGGCTGTTTTTCTGCAAAGGGACCAGGACGACTGATCCGTGTAAAGGAAAGAATGAATGGAGCCATGTATCGTGAGATTTTGAGTGAAAACCTCCTTCCATCAGCAAGGGCATTGAAGATGAAACGTGGCTGGGTCTTTCAGCATGACAATGATCCCAAACACACCGCCCGGGCAACGAAGGAGTGGCTTCGTAAGAAGCATTTCAAGGTCCTGGAGTGGCCTAGCCAGTCTCCAGATCTCAACCCCATAGAAAATCTTTGGAGGGAGTTGAAAGTCTGTGTTGCCCAGCGACAGCCCCAAAACATCATTGCTCTAGAGGAGATCTGCATGGAGGAATGGGCCAAAATACCAGCAACAGTGTGTGAAAACCTTGTGAAGACTTACAGAAAACGTTTGACCTGTGTCATTGCCAACAAAGGGTATATAACAAAGTATTGAGAAACTTTTGTTATTGACCAAATACTTATTTTCCACCATAATTTGCAAATAAATTCATAAAAAATCCTACAATGTGATTTTCTGGATTTTCTTTCCTCATTTTGTCTGTCATAGTTGACGTGTACCTATGATGAAAATTAGAGGCCTCTCTCATCTTTTTAAGTGGGAGAACTTGCACAATTGGTGGCTGACTAAATACTTTTTTCCCCCACTGTATATCCGGTGGAAACGGGACGGATCCAGTTGATGATTTCATACAATGTTGCACTTCACTAGCAATAGCTCAAGTCAAGACATAGAAAGGGAGTAGAGAGATGAATGTGATTGAAAGAACCAGAATTTTCATCAGGATATTTTCTACTGTTTTTATTTGGTCGGCTTTAGGCCTATGTATTTTACTTAGTTGACAAAGTTATAGACCTACTCCTGCATTGGCTTATAGGCTATCTCTGAGTTCTATGCGCTAATTTCTTTAGCCGCCAATGTACCACAGTGTATCAAGGATGGTGCTCTCGCCTTAGTTGAATTTTAACTTTTAGATTTTTATAATTTTACTTCAGATTTTTATGATTAACCATGTGACAATGATTTTGAGAAACGAAAACATTTTTATTGAAATGAAACTGTTCCACAAAAATGTGCATATAAAAACAATCATAACTTTCACGCAGATCGGTAGAAATGGTAGGATAAATTGTAAGCTTCCCCAAACTTGAAACTCACGAGCTGCCCATGGGCTTTACTCTAACACCCTAGTGCGTGCACACATAGGAGATCCCGTGAAAAAAACGTGCCTGGCTATAGATATCAGAGGCCTGTCGAACTGATTCGTTCTGGTGCCGGCCCTGAGCACATGACTAAAGTGTACATTGAATGCAAATAAAGCATAAGCTTACTACTGAGATAAAACGATCTTACCCCCGTCAGTGACGTGCTCCCAACTCCCCATATCCCTTTTGAAGACAAAGGGAAAGACAGAAACAAGAAAATATTACTGTTGCTGAAAACAAACTACCACTCCCCTTCCCACCCACCACAGCTTTCAGCTTTCAGTGAATTATCGACTAAAACTTAACCAAAGTCTATTAAAACTTTCCCTCTGGTGAGCGCTTGTGGATTTAGAAATTTGATCTGGGTGGCAGGTGGCAGTTAATTTCCAAGAGAAGAAACGCTTCAATGTTGATATAACATTGAATTATTCATCTCTGACTTGTCTTCTGTGTCTTGGTGCATTTTTTCTCTCTCAGGAAAAATATCAAGGCGTCTGCGGTGTGCCAGTACTCCTTCACAGATATACAGAGGGCCTTCGAGGGGCCTTACATGGAGGTGCAGGATTCCAAATGGAGGGAATATACAGGGAAGGTTCCAGTACCAAGGCCTGGCTCAGTAAGTCTCTAGTAATACCCCTCTATTTCCCTGCTACAGAAAACCTTATTCCCCCTTCTCTCCCTCCCCTTGCCCCCATTTCTTACTATCTTTGGATCAATCTCAATACTCTCTACACAGTGTCCTCCTTTCCTTGTCTTCTTTCCTGCATCTAGAAAGACTGAGTTGGTGAAAGCAGTATTTAGACTGCTTCCACCAATTCAGTCTTTCTATAGTTATTGTATATGCTGATGTAGGGAAGGAGAGGAGAAGAGGAAGGCCCTTAATGCTATTGAGGTGCAGCCTTGTCTCTATTTCTGTCTCAATCACTATTTTCTGATCTGTATTGACTTCTCTCTCTCTTTCCCTCTCCGACCTCTCTTTCTCTCACTGCCCTTCCTCGCTCCAGTGTATTACAGACATACACAGGTCCCAGGGCATCAACTCGTCCCGTGACCTCCCAGACAACGTGTTGGCCTTTGCGAGGCAGCACCCCTTGATGTCCACCCAGGTCCACCCCATAGGAGGGCACCCCCTACTGTTCAAGAGAAGTGTCAATTACGGAAAGATGGCCGTGCACAGGGTGGCAGCCCTGGACGGACACGTCTACACCGTGCTCTTCTTGGGAACTGGTGAGTCTGGCAAGATTTATAATGCATAATACATAGAACATAAGGAATAGTTGAATACTTATTTAACTTAGTTTTTTCTTCTTTTAATGTTGTATGAGAGTTATCAATGTTATATGAATGTTATGAACGTTATATTAATGTTATATCATATGAATGTTATATGAAGGTTATATGAACGTTGTATGAAGGTTATATGAACGTTTTATGAAGGTTATATGAATGTTGTATGAACATTAAATGTCTGTTTTTCCCTGCAGATGAGGGCTGGCTGCACAGGGCTGTGGAGATAGGAGGTCAAATGCACATCATAGAGGAGCTGCAGCTGTTTGTGAACCCTCAGCCTATAGACAGCATGGTCATCTCCCAGACACAGGTACTACACATGGCACATGCATGCTTATAAAGCATTATACCTGTTGGCTTTGAGTACAGTGTTATCAAAATGGTATTAAACATAAATTATCCATCAACAGGGAAGTATCTTTGTGGGCTCAAACTCTGCAGTGCTCCAGGTCCCCTTGTCCTCCTGCCAGCGCTACACGTCCTGTTTCGACTGTGTGTTCGCCCGGGACCCCTTCTGTGGCTGGGACGGGGCGCTGTGTGTGGAAATTTCCTCACGCACAAACAGGTGAGAGCACACACACACACACACACACACATTTTATTAGAATTAGAAGAAGCTATCATTATTTTATATCAATGCTCTCACCATAATATTTTTTATGTTGATTTAGAATAGTTTACAAACATTCTATGAAGTACAAGTATTATGTTCTATTTTCTGTGTTATTCCATATACTGTAATTTATAATACAAATCAAGTTACTCCTGTTTAACTTTGTACTGTTTCTGTATGCCTGCTCTGCCTGTACATACAGTATGTGTGGGTGCCCACTGCCCAGAAAGAATAAATGAGAACTGACATTCTTCTGGCTCCTATTCAGGTCCAATTTAACCCAGGATATACAGAGAGGGAAAAGAGGCTGTGACAACAGCACAGGAGCAGGTATGAACTAAACACACACACCACTGGCGTAGCACACACCCCCGCAGCCCCCGCAAGGCGGGGGGGGGGGGCACAAATGTAGCATATGAACATGTCATAAGCTATGATTCTTGTGGGGCGGAATTACAGGAAATTAGCTTTAAAACTGCTAAATTTTCTCTCAGCATCATGGCAAAATGTGTAAAATAACATGAGATTAGCTATAAAACTATTTAAAAAATGGGTTGGGGGGGGCCCCCGCAAAACTGCGCTACGCCACTGACACACACATTGCACATGCTCGTGACCTGATGTCCGTTTCTGTATTAATCTCTCTCTCCTGCTCTCTCTCTCTGTATATCCTGCTTTCTCTCTCTCTCTTGTTCTCCGTCTATCCTGCACTCTCTCCTTCTATCTATCTCTCTTTCGCTCTCTCGCTCTCTCGCTCTCCCTCTCTCTCTCGTTCTCTTTCTCACCCTCTCTCTCCCTCTCTCAGTAGTCCACCGCAGGCGTACGGTGATGTCTGGGGACGATGTCCTCCTCCATTGCGATCTGCACTCCAACCTAGCCACTCCATGCTGGACCCTGGATGGCCGCAAGCTCCAGGGCTACGGCCTCGACTCGGGCCATCGTGTGGGCACCGACGGCCTGCTCCTCATCGGCGCCCGGCCCGACCAGAGCGGAGACTATTGCTGCTACGCCGTGGAGAACAACGTGTGGGTGCCAGTGAGGATGTACACCGTGAGGGTGCACCCTGACCTGCCTTTCTCTGTGGGGCCAACAGCCGTGACGGACACCACTACCACCCCACCAAGCCCTTCTCTTTCCCCCAGCAGCCCCACTGAGCAGCCCCTGCCCTCCCCGCCTGCTCCCCTCCTCCCTGTGCCTGAGTTCCAGACCTACAGGCACATGGAGGCCATGTATATCTCCCTGGTGGCTGTGCTTGGCGGGATGTGCCTGGTGCTGACCGTAGTGCTGCTCTACGTCAGCTTCTGCACCTGGGGGCCCTACCAGGGCTGCAAGTACTCCCAGCAGGGGCTGCCTGAGTCGGGGGCCGCAGCCAAGAGGAAGAGGAGCTCCCACCTGGAGCTCAAGACCATCTCCAGCCACTGTAACGGCAGGCAGGAAATCAAGCGCGGACGCCGCTCCCTGTCGGTATCCAACATGGACGACATGGGTGATGGCTTCCTCCAGATCGTGCCCGGGGAAGGGTCTCCGGGGAAGTCGCTGCCCCCTCCCGCTCCGCCGCTCCCAATGCCGCCACCCCTGCCCTCCTCGGAGTACGCATCGTCAGAGTACACCAACGGGATGTCGGCGACGTTACCCAACGTCCTTCGCAAGATGAACGGCAACAGCTACGTGCTGCTGAGGCAGATGGCGGACCCCGAGGGGAGCACGTCTCCCCTCTACCACTCGTTCACTGAAGAGCTCAACCGCATCCTGGAGAAGAGGAAGCACACGCAACTGGACCCCCAGCCGACAGACGAGAGCTCCGTCTAGCCCCCCATCTCTTTCCCATTGATCTGTGTATTGGTTTAACCCAACTACAAAAGAGTGCCCCCAAAAGGCAGGGAGGCCTAACTTGTATTATACTTCTGCTATTTAACCAGTGCCAAAGCAACCTGTGGGAGTATTCATACCCAAAACCCAATGTGCAGCTTCCCGTGACTTGAGACAAGTGGCCCGCCCACATAATTTCACAATTGAACATTGGCGTAAAGAGGACTTTTTGACTTTTCCCTAACTGAAGCAGTCATGGATATAGTCATGGTATCCATTTTGGACACACACTGTACTAGTGCATGGACCCTTTGATGGACTTTCAAGCAAATACATGATACATACACAAGTTAGTTACAATCCTACCTCAGATCCTAACCCTATTGTGGAAGCTGGTCAATTACGTTAAAGGTCAGTGCTGGTCTGGTCAGCTGACACACTGACAGAGAGCGCTGTGGTGCATCGTGGGACAAGGGACACAGACTTTCAATGAGAGCCCAGGTCATATGACCAATGACCATGAAGTAAGATGATGAGTTAGACTGAGGAACTATCAAAGCCTGTATGAACATTATAGACCATCTTCGGAACTATTGAATTTAGACAACGATGGCTACTGTAGTTTAGTGCCATACAGTGTACGTCAATGAAGGCTCTTAAAGACCTACAGAACCTCACAAGAGAGCACAGATGGTTGGACAAATAATACATTTCAGTCATAACTTAACACACACTTATCTTTGTTTTCATGTAAATAGAAATAATATCGCTGTGGCAGCCATCAGTAGCAACTGTTGAAATAATTCCAATTGAAATGGTTGTAGCGAAACCAAATTGAAATGAAACTTTTTAGCATCTTTGTGTTGTTAGCATCTGACTGTGTCAAAGGGGGAAAATAGCAGGATTATAGATAGACGGCAGGCTTCATCAAAGCTTGGCCGGATGAACACTATCATTGAAGAATGAAGACTATCATGAAGGACTGATCTCTGGTCAGATTGATCAGAGAAACTGAGTGATGATGATGGTGATGGTGATGATGATGACGAAGATGGTGGGACCTGACTGCCAGAAATGTGTGAGCCCAACAGGAGACCAGAAAGCAAAGGTAAGACTGAACCTATTTTCAAATTCAAAGTCCACCACCACCACCAAATAGCTTATGTTAACAAAGTGAAAACATCAGCTTTCATTTTCCTCTCCGTGAAAGATGAAGGGCAGAGAGGCAGACATTAATTCCAGCCCAGGTTGATGTTTGTGCTGTGTGTCCTTTGCTGTCACAAGCTGGTGGCCACAAGCCAGACGAGCTATAGGGCCATCACACTGTTATCTAACCCGCAACGCTCTCTCAATGTTTAGGTGACATCAGTGTCAATGCAATAACAACATACGCTAGCAACAACCGGGGACATACTCCATTGCCTTGAGAGAGGGTCCACTCTGACCAAAGCAAATATTGGCAGAGACTGAAATGGCATCCGTCTCTATAAAGTGCACTACTTTTGTAGTGCACTATAGGGACTATATAGGGCTCTGGACAAAAGTAGTGCACTACAGTGCCTTGCAAAAGTATTCATCCCCCTTGGCATTTTTCCTATTTTGTTGCATTACAACCTGTAATTTAAATTGATTTTTATTTGGATTTCATGTAATGGACATACACAAAATAGTCCAAATTGGTGAAGTGAAATGAAAGAAATTACTTGTTTAAAAAAATTCTAAAGAATAAATAACGGAAAAGTGGTGCGTGCATATGTATTCACCCACTTTGCTATGATGCCCCTAAATAAGATCTGGTGCAACCAATTACCTTCAGAAGTCACATAATTAGTTAAATAAAGTCCACCTGTGTGCAATCTAAGTGTCACATGATCTGACACATGATCTCAGTATATACAGTTGAAGTCGGAAGTTTACATACACTTAGGTTGGAGTCATTAAAACTTGTTTTTCAACCACTCCACACATTTCTTGTTAACAAACTATAGTTTTGGCAAGTCGGTTAGGACATCTACTTTGTGCATGACACAAGTAATTTTTCCAACAATTGTTTACAGACAGATTATTTCACTTATAATTCACTGTATCACAATTCCAGTGGGTCAGAAGTTTACATACACTAAGTTGACTGTGCCTTTAAACAACTTGGAAAATTCCAGAAAATGATATCATGGCTTTAGAAGCTTCTGATAGGCTAATTGACATCATTTGAGTCAATTGGAGGTGTAGCTGTGGATGTATTTCAAGGCCTACCTTCAAACTCAGTGCCTCTTTGCTTGACATCATGGGAAAATCAAAATAAATCAGTCAAGACCTCAGAAAGTCTGGTTCATCCTTGGGAGCAATTTCCAAACGCCTGAAGGTACCACGTTCATCTGTACAAACAATTGTACGCAAGTATAAACACCATGGGACCACGCAGCCGTTATACCGCTCAGGAAGGAGACGCGTTCTGTCTCCTAGAGATGAACGTACTTTGGTGCGAAAAGTGCAAATCAATCCCAGCAAAGGACCTTGTGAAGATGCTGGAGGAAACAGGTACAAAAGTAGCTATATCCACAGTAAAACAAGTCCTATATCGACATAACCTGAAAGGCTGCTCAGCAAGGAAGTAGCTCAACCGAGCTACTCACTCTCACAATGAACAATCACTCACAAAGGACAAGGGGGCAGAGGGAACACTTATACACAGACTAATGAGGGAATGAGTCCAAGGTACACAAAGTCCAAGGTAGACAAAATAACATACCTCACACGGAACAAGATCCCACAACTGACTGGTGCCAAAAGGCTGCCTAAGTATGGTCCCCAATCAGAGACAACGAGCTACAGCTGCCTCTGATTGGGAACCACCCTGGCCAACATAGATCTAAACGATCTAGAAACTAAACATAGAAATAAACACAACACGAAATATACACACCCTGACTCAACAAATAACCGTCCCCTGAGTCAGGGCGTGACAATGAGTACCAGGTGTGTGTGATTGACAAGACAAGACAAGACAAATGGAGTGATGATAAATGGAGCGGTAATGGCTAGTAAGCCGGTGGCAATGAATGCCGAAACCTGTCCGAGCAAGGAGGAGGGGCAGCCTCGGCTGAATTCGTGACACATAAAAAAGCCAGACTACGGTTTGCAACTGCACATCGGGACAAAGATCCTACTTTTTGGAGAAATGTCCTCTGGTCTGATGAAACAAAAATAGAACTGTTTGGCCATAATGACCATTGTTATGTTTGGAGGAAAAAGGGGAATGCTTGCAAGCCGAAGAACACCATCCCAACTGTGAAGCACGGGGGTGGCAGCATCATGCTGTGGGGGTGCTTTGCTGCAGGAGGGTCTGGTACACTTCACAAAATAGATGGCATCATGAGGAAGGAAAATTATGTGGATATATTGAAGCAACATCTCAAGACATCAGTCAGGAAGTTAAAGCTTGGTCTCAAATGGGTCTTCCAAATGGACAATGACCCCAAGCATACTTCCAAATATGTGGCAAAATGGCTTAAGGACAACAAAGTCAAGGTATTGGAGTGGCCATCACGAAGCCCTGACCTCAATCCAATAGTAAATTTGTGGGCAGAACTGAAAAAGCGTGTGCGAGCAAGGAGGCCTACAAACCTTATTCAGTTACACCAGCTCTGTCAGGAGGAATGGGCCAAAATTCACCCAACTTATTTTGGGAAGTTTGTGGAAGGCTTGTGCAAGTTAAACAATTTAAAGGCAATGCTACCAAATACTAATTGAGTATATGTAAACTTCTGACCCACTGGGAATGTGATTAAATTAATAAAAGCTGAAATAAATCATTCTCTCTACTATTATTCTGACATTTCACATTCTTAAAATAAAGTGGTGCTCCTAACTGACTTATACAGGGAATTTTTACTAGGATTAAATGTCAGGAATGATGAAAAACTGAGTTTAAATGTACTTGGCTAAGGTATGTAAACTTCTGACTTCAACTGTATACACCTGTTCTGAAAGGCCCAAGTGTCTGCAACACCACTAAGCAAGGGGCACCACCAAGCAAGCGGCACCATGAAGACCAAGGAGCTCTCCAAACAGGTCAGGGATAAAGTTGTGGAGAAGTACAGATCAGGGTTGGGTTATAAAAAAATATCAGAAACTTTGAACATCCCACGGAGCACCATTAAATCCATTATTAAAAAATGGAAAGAATATGGCACCACAACAAACCTGCCAAGAGAGGGCCGCCCACCAAAACTCACGGACCAGGCAAGGAGGGCATTAATCAGAGAGGCAACAAAGAGACCAAAGATAAGCCTGAAGGAGCTGCAAAGCTCTACAGCGGAGATTGGAGTATCTGTCCATAGGACCACTTTAAGCTGTACACTCCACAGAGCTGGGGTTTACGGAAGAGTGGCCAGAAAAAAGCCATTGCTTAAAGAAAAAAATAAGTAAACACATTTGGTGTTCACCAAAAGGCATGTGGGAGACTCCCCAAACAAATGGAAGAATGTACTCTGGTCAGATGTGACTAAAATTGAGCTTTTTGGCCATCAAGGAAAACGTTATGTCTGGCGCAAACCCAACACCTCTCATCACCCCGAGAACACCATCCCCACAGTGAAGCATGGTGGTGGCAGAATCATGCTGTGGTGATGTTTTTCCATCGGCAGGGACTTGGAAACTGGTCAGAATTGAAGGAATGATGGATGGCACTAAATACAGGGAAATTCTTGAGGGAAACCTGTTTCAGTCTTCCAGAGATTTGAGACTGGGACAGAGGTTCCCTTCCAGCAGGACAATGACCCTAAGCATACTGCTAAAGCAACACTCGAATGTCTTGGAATGGCCTAGTCAAAGCCCAGACCTCAATCCAATTGAGAATCTGTGGTATGACTTAAAGATTGCTGTACACCAGCGGATCCCATCCGACTTGAAGGAGCTGGAGCAGTTTTGCCTTGAAGAATAGGTAAAAATCCCAGTGGCTAGATGTGCCAAGCTTATAGAGACATACCCCAAGAGACTTGCAGCTGTAATTGCTGCAAAAGCTGGCTCTACAAAGTATTGACTTTGGGGGGCAGAATAGTTATGCACGCTCATGTTTTCAGTTTTTTTGTCTTATTTCTTGTTTGTTTCACACAAAACATTTTTTTGCATCTTCAAAGTGGTAGGCATGTTGTATAAATCAAATCCATTTTAATTCCAGGTTGTAAGGCAACAAAATAGGAAAAATGCCAAGTGGGGTGAATACTTTTCAGGCGGATCCTGGGCTGGACTGCATAGAGACACCAAGTTAAGGCTTGTTGTGTTTTTTTGCGGACTCTATCGAATGCGGCAGAGCGGCACAGGAAACATTTGACCTGTGTGTCCTGGTCAGTGATGCAGTGAGCTGATAGAGTAGGAGAGGGAGGGATGGAGTGTGTATTTGTGTGTGTGTGAGAGGGGGGCTGACAGGAGCTGCTTTGCACCATCAGCAGGTTTCCTCCTCCTCCTCTCTCCCCCTCCCTTTATTCCCACCCTCTCTATCCGTATATGCTCCCTTTTCTATTACCTGTCCGCTCTACCCCTTCACCTCCACGCTAGAGTATCATCATTCCATCCATTATTACCCTTCCCCTCCCTCCCTCTTCCTCTCTTACTTCCCCTCTCCCCTAGAGGAGCCTGCTGAGTTCACAAACCACCATGATAGCCCCCCAATCAATTAAGCCTGGCCTTCAAACAGTGCCCGTGACCTTCTCTTTGCAAAGGGGCTACTGCAGTGTTCCTCAATCCTGTTCCCTGGGCCTGGAGGACCCACAGGGTGTGCACGTTTTTGTTCTCGCCCAGCACCGTATTCAACTAATCAAGGGCTTGGTGATGAGTTATGTTGAATCAGGTGTTTCAGTGCTGGGCTATAACAAAGATGTGCCCCATTTCCCCATTGGTCATTATAGTAGCTGAGCAGAATCTTCTTATTGGTTGATTAGAATATTGATGCACTATGACAGGTGTTTCATTGGTCATACAGTTTCACAGGACCATTATATTAATGTTGTACAAAAGCTTGTCTACGGCAGGGGTCAAGCAAGCCTGATGAATGTGTTTTCCTTATCTTATCTTTTCATGTAACATAAATAATGATGTATCAAAAGTGCAATCACAATGAGGGTAGTTGAGGATGAACATTCAAAGTTGAAAGAACAAACTGGACATTTAAACTTTAGGGTATGTCATTTCTCATTACATGTGATTCACTGATGCTGTCATGTTATGTTTAAAGTTTTAACAGAGAGAAGCTCATTTTAAAGTAGAAAAACACAGTCATCATAGTATGACATACTGTATGTAGAGTGTATTAAGTCTCTGCTTTTCAATCTTTTTTCTGTCTTTAGTTATACAAGGAGATGGAGAAGCTGGTGAATGGAAGAAGGAGTGTGTGAGGAACCCCGATGATCTGAGCCAGTGACTGCTCAAAATACACCAAAGGGTAATCAGTGTGTACAATCGCCATGGGCAGTGAACATGGATACGGTTATGGATATTGTACTGTACTTACTACTTATGGTCAAATGGCAAACATGCTGGCTACTACAGTACACTCAATACACACCTCCAGTATACTGTAGGTCCCCATAAACACTGTGGAACACTAATTTCAACAAACATACTCACATCCTACAGACATGACAACATTCAAGTCGAGGTTTAGATATTAACTCTACATCACCTACAGAATACATTTGAGTGAACAATGACTAAAAGACGCATTTGCACTATACCTCGTGAGGACTTTTTTGCTATGTACATAAGAAGATTCAGTATACCCTTGTAAAGTGTTACATCCATGTGCTACATCCGTGTTATGTGTTTTTGTTGTTTTCTGGCTCGATGTAGATATGACTACTACTTTACAATCGTCTGAGACCAGACAACCCGACAGCTGATTAAACTGAGGAGTATTTCTGTCTGTAATAAAGCCCTTTTGTGGGGAAAAACATATTCTGAGTGGGTGGGCCTATGACTGTGCACGGGCCCACCCATGGCTGCGCCCGTGCACAGTCATGTGAAATTCATAGATTTGGGCCTAATGAATTTATTTAAATTGACTGATTCCTTTAAGTGAACTGTAACTCAGTAAAATTGTTGAAATTGTTGCATGTTGTGTTCATATTTTTGTTCAGTATATAATCATTTCTCCAAGTGCTCTGATGCCGAAATAATTACGTGACATGGCCAACACTACACGGCTGATTAAATAATAAGTGCAATATTTATAACAAAAGTGATATTGTGTATTTATTTTTCTCATACGTCATTGTCACTGTTTTGTGCAACCACCGGTAAAGGATTTCTTAAAAACTATTTTGCATCAAATTCAGATCGACTGGGAATAATCCTGTGTCAATGCCCAAGGGGGATGTCAGTACAGTACAGCATTATGCAAAACATGTTCAAACTGAGTCCTTTTGTCTCGACAACACAATACCCAATAGTATTGCTGTTGGGTGATAATGATGACAATCTAGGCCTTGGTCATGTTCATTAGGGCTCGCAATGGGAACTGTTTTAAAATGTTTTAGAATGCAAAAAACGATAGTCCCTCCGTATTTCAGTCAGTTCTTTCTTGTTGGGTACCTAATGAACACGACCCTGCATTCTCAACAGACTGCTCAACATGTCATAGTAAATAATTCACACTGTTGGGTGATATTGCTGGATGCTGAGATTGTGACGGTCCGGGGGTACAGCACAGGCTGAAAGACTGGTGGGAAAAAAGGCAAGTTTGAGTGCTGAGGCTAGGGCCGTAACTAAGCAACAACAATCTTTATTTAGAGCTTTTACACCCATAGTGTAGGTCAAGCCCTGACAGTTCTAATTGGGGTAAGAAACTGTGATGTGAGATTAGAACTCTGGTCAGGCTCTGCTGCCTGTAATCGTTGTGATACATAATTAGCTATGTAAAAACTAGTTGCAACCCTGCTCCAATCAATATAAAAACAAGCAGTGTTCTTAGAATAACACTGTTGATTATATATATTACTTTTCCCCAACATAAATAACATGACTAGTATGAAATTAAGTGGATTCTATTAAGGTTAACAGTATCTCCTGTTTTAAGTCCACCCTACATTCTGACAGATAACCGTCAAAAAAATTACCAATATGACAGTATTAATGTTGAGATACATTTTATGAGAACTTTAAACTAACACTGAATACACTGCCGGAAAACATAATGCCATCCTCTTTAGTCACCAAACACATTGCTAACACATGACTACATGACTGTAGTACTAATCGCTCTGCAGTCAAAGATGCACTTCCTCTTCCCGACCACACTCATCTCTGCAGTCATCTGACGACTCACACACCCTTTCCATTTTACACAATCAGCCTTCAGATTATACTATTGCCTTTCCTGTGACCAGTCATGCACCACCCATCTGTAACCCAACCATCAAGAAATCCTGTCTGACCACATCTTTTACAGCACCACCCACCCTGCAGCTATGTTGTTATCTGCAGACAATCAACACAGAGTTCATACAAGACATGCTTGCAGTCAAATTGGTGAAATTATTATTGATGGGCAGCTGATAGAGGAACGTTCAAGAGCCATATATGGTACTGGGTCGTTCCACACTTAAGATGGTTTGTGTGATTGGCAGACATTTGCTGTGAGAGTTGAGGCTCTGTCTGGACTGTGGTGTAAGAAATGGCAACTTGAAACGCTGCTGTTGATGTAAATGAGTACATTGCTATATGCCAAGGAAAATAAAAACACCATATCTAATTAATTTTTTTATTGTCCTATCATGATGGAACGGTCACCAACCCTATATCCTAGACACCCACCTGAGCGACCCATACACCAAAGAGAAGTCCCCATCTGTTTTATGGCCCTGCTGTATGTTGCCTATATGCAGCCAAAACAGAAAGATACTAGAGCAGCACCGCCCCCTCAAGATTCTGAGCCTGCCTGGCAGGGTTGGTTCTACAAAGCCAGAGCCCCCTGATGGGAGAGCATAATATACAAGTAAATTCTCAAAGCTGCTAATGAGAACCTTGACGGCCTTGTACCTAGCCGGTGGGGATTCCGGTGGGGTACCCCCACCCAGGTAGTGAGATATACATTATGTCATTCTCGTTGGCACCAAAAGTTTAAAAAGTGTTGATAGGGGACAGAATGTGGTCGGACCATCATATAAATTGGCATATACATTACTCTTACTGAAATTCTTTTTTAATCTTCAACATAGAAATGCTACCAAAAATAATTTACTGAAACTGGTTACAAATAACGGAGTCACCCATGATTCACCAAATTATATTTTGAAGGAGGAAGTAAAGTACTTTAAGCATATGTTTTCGTTTCAGTCGCCTCCATCTCCTCTAACTGAAGCGAATTGTAGGGATTTTTTTTCTATTGATAATGTAAAATTAACAGCCATACAGAAAGACTCATGTGAAGGTGAAATTACAGAGGGTGAACTTCTGGATGAAATGAAAGACTTTAAGTCCAGGAAAACTCCAGGGTTGGATGGCATACCAGTCAAGGTATACCAAACCTTTTTTGATATACTCAGAGGACCTTTATTAGCATGTTCTAACCACTCCTATGTAAATGGTAGATTATCAGACACTCAAGAAGAAGGTCTGATTTCATTATTACTGAAACAGGACACAAGTGGGAAATATAAAGATCCAGTCCATAAAAAAAATTGGAAGCCCCTCACACTGCAGTGTCTAGCAAAATGTATAGCGCATAGAATTAAAAAAGGTATTGTCGGACATGATTCATTCTAATCAGACAGGTTTTTTACATGGAAGATACATTGGAGATAATGTAAGGCAAGTACTGGAAACAATAGAACACTATGAAAAATCTGGGAAACCAGGCCTGCTATTCATAGCAGACTTTGAAATGGCATTTGATGAAGTACACCTGGAGTTTATATATAAATGCCTGGAGCATTTCAATTTTGGAGAATCTCTTATAAAATGGGTTAAAATCATGTATAGTAACCCTAGGTGTAAAATAGTAAATAATGGCTATTTCTCAGAAAGTTTTAAACTGTCAAGAGGAGTAAAACAAGGTTGTCCACTATCAGCATATCTATTTATTATGGCCATCAAAATGTTAGGTATTAAAACAAGATCCAACAATAATATCAAGGGATTAGAAATCCAGGGTTTAAAAACAAAGTTGTCATTGTACGCTGATGATTCATGTTTTCTTTTAAATCCACAGCTTGAATCACTCCACAGCCTCATAGAGGATCTAGATACATTTTCTAACTTCTCTGGATTACAACCAAATTATGATAGATGTACTATATTACGTATTGGATCACTAAAAAATACAATTTTTACATTACCATGTAGTTTACCAATAAAATGGTCTGATGGTGGTGTGGATATACTCAGAATACATATCCCAAATGAAATAAATGATCTCACTCCAATACATTTTAATAGAAAGTTAGCAGAAAAAGATAAGATCTTGCTACCATGGAAAGGTAAATACCTGTCTATTTGTGGAAAAGTCACCCTGATTAACTCTTTAGTATTATCCCAGTTTACCTATTTGCTTATGGTCTTGCCTACACCTAGCGACCAGTTTTTTAAATTATATGACAAAAAAATATGCCATTTTATTTGGAACGGCAAGCCAGACAAAATTAAACGGCCCTATTTATATAATGAATATGAATTCGTAGGACAGAAATTATTAAATATTAAAGCATTAGACCTATCAATAAAAGCTTCAGTTATACAAAAGTTGTACTTAAATCCAAACTGGTTCTCTAGCAAATTAGTAAGATTGTCTCACCCCATGTTCAAGAATGGCCTTTTTCCCTTTATTCAGATTACAACCTTTCACTTTCAGTCATTTAAAAAGGAAATCATCTCCCAAATATCATTATTTCTAAAACAAGCCATAGAAAGTTGGTTGCAATTTCAATTTAATCCTCCAGAAACAACAGAACAAATAATGCAACAAATATTGTGGTTAAACTAAAATATACTAATTGATAAAAAAAAACATTATCTTTTGAATAAATGTTTAAAAAAGGTATAATCGTCGTAAATTATATCATAGGTAGGAATGGTGGAGTTATGTCGCACATGCAGCTAACAAAAACATATGGAAATGTCTGCTCTACACAAAATTACAACCAAATAATTGCAGCATTACCGCAAAAATGGAAGAGAAAAGTGGAAGGGGGAAAAAGTAAGGAACTTGTCTGTCGGCCCTGCATTAAAGAACATAATTGGTTAAAGAAAATTATGATAAATAAAAAAGTATACCAGTTTCATTTCAGGACCAAAGGATTGACAGCCGTCCCATATAGATTGCTAAATAGTTGGGAAGAGATTTTTGACGTCCCGATTCCATGGCATAGTGTTTATGAACTGATACGCAAAATGATGCCGGATTCAAAACATCAAATCTTTCAATTTAAATTATTATACAAAATTCTTGCTACCAATAGAATGTTATTTATATGGGGGATACAATCCCCAATATAATGGCTAAAGGATTGCAATATTTACCTGGAGCTAACCCTGCAGATAGCACTACTGGGTGATCTGAAAAGTCATAGTCAATTGATCAATAATATAATAATACTTTTAGCAGAAATGTTTATTTTCAATTTACAATCTGTAGAAACAATGAGAATAGAAGGGTTCAGAACTTTTGTGAAACATCACAGTACAGTTGAAAAATATATGGCAAATAGAAATCCAATATGGATGGTGTTAAGAGATAGATGGGTGGTGTTGAATGGAGTTGAAGGATGGGACTAATAACAACTAACAACAACTAACAACAACAAGATAACTAATGTAAAGCATAATGTGTCCATAATAAGAATATAGGTTATAGGTTGAGAGCTTTTGTGAAAGAGCACAGTTGGAAATATATGGCATATAGAAGCAAACCGGATGGACATCATGAAAATGATCGGAGAGGCTGAGGGTAGAGGTTCAGGAGTAGAAACAAAAAAATATATAATTATTGTGGGATTGACTGTGTCCGTGGAATGTGTGTAGTATGTATAGGCTGGAAGTGGAGGCCTGGGTCTTGTTGTTCACTGGTTTGCTCCAATTAGGGAAGGGGTGGTGGGGATGGAAAGTAATAAAGGATATGTATATATATATATATGTATGTATTTATATGTATACAGTGAGGGAAAAAATAATTTGATTTCCCTGCTGATTTTGTACGTTTGCCCACTGACAATGAAATGATCAGTCTATAATATCAATGGTAGGTTTATTTGAACAGTGAGAGACAGAATAACAACAAAAAAATCCAGAAAAACGCATGTCAAAAATGTTATAAATTGATTTGCATTTGAATGAGGGAAATAAGTATTTGACCCCCTCTCAATAAGAAAGATTTCTGGCTCCCAGGTGTCTTTTATACAGGTAACGAGCTGGAATTAGGAGCACACTCTTAAAGGGAGTGCTCCTAACCTCAGCGTGTTACCTGTATAAAAGACACCTGTCCACAGAAGCAATCAATCAATCAGATTCCAAACTCTCCACCATGGCCAAGACCAAAGAGCTCTCCAAGGATGTCAGGGACAAGATTGTAGACCTACACAAGGCTGGAATGGGCTACAAGACCATCGCCAAGCAGCTTGGTGAGAAGGTGACAACAGTTGGTGAGATTATTCGCAAATGGAAGATCTCACCTCGTGGAGTTGCAATGATCATGAGAACAGTGAGGAATCAGCCCAGAACTACACAGGAGGATCTTGTCAATGATCTCAAGGCAGCTGGGACCATAGTCACCAAGAAAACAACTGGTAACACACTACGCCGTGAAGGACTGAAATCCTGCAGCGCCCGCAAGGTCCCCCTGCTCAAGAAAGCACATATACAGGGCCGTCTGAAGTTTGCCAATGAACATCTGAATGATTCAGAGGAAAACTGGGTGAAAGTGTTGTGGTCAGATGAGACCAAAATCGAGCTCTTTGGCATCAACTCAACTCGCCATGTTTGGAGGAGGAGGAATGCTGCCTATGTCCCCAAGAACACCATCCCCACCGTCAAACATGGAGGTAGAAACATTATGCTTTGGGGGTGTTTTTCTGCTAAGGGGACAAGGACAACTTCACCGCATCAAAGGTACGATGGACGGGGCCATGTACCGTCAAATCTTGGGTGAGAACCTCCTTCCCTCAGCCAGGACATTGAAAATGGGTCGTGGATGGGTATTCCAGCATGACAATGACCCAAAACACACGGTAAAGGCAACAAAGCAGTGGCTCAAGAAGAAGCACATTAAGGTCCTGGAGTGGCCTAGCCAGTCTCCAGACCTTAATCCCATAGAAAATCTGTGGAGGGAGCTGAAGGTTCGAGTTGCCAAACGTCAGCCTCGAAACCTTAATGACTTGGAGAAGATCTGCTAAGAGGAGTGGGACAAAATCCCTCCTGAGATGTGTGCAAACCTGGTGGCCAACTACAAGAAACGTCTGACCTCTGTGATTGCCAACAAGGGTTTTGCCACCAAGTACTAAGTCATGTTTGCAGATGGGTCAAATACTTATTTCCCCTCATTAAACTGCAAATCAATTTATAACATTCCTGACATGCGTTTTTCTGGATTTTTTTGTTGTTATTCTGTCTCTCACTGTTCAAATAAACCTACCATTAAAATTATAGACTGATCATTTCTTTGTCAGTGGGCAAACATACAAAATCAGCAGGGGATCAAATACTTTCTTCCCTCACTGTATGTATGTACAGTTGAATTCGGAAGTTTACATACACCTTGGCCAAATACAGTTTTTCACAATTCCTGACATTTAATCCTAGTAAAAATACCCTGTCTTAGGTCAGTTAGGATCACCACTTTATTTTAAAAATGTGAAATGTCAGAATAATAGTAGAGAGAATTATTTATTTCAGCTTTTATTTCTTTCATCACATTCCCAGGGGGTCAGAAGTTTACATACACTCAATTAGTATTTGTTAGCTTTGCATTTAAATCGTTTAACTTGGGTCAAATGTTTCAGGTAGCCTTCCACAAGCTTCCCACAATAAGTTGGGTGAATTTTGGCCCATTCCTCCTGACAGAGCTGGTGTAACTGAGTCAGGTTTGTAGGCCTCCTTGCTCGCACACGCTTTTTCAGTTCTGCCCACACATTTTCTATAGGATTGAGGAGGTCAGGGCTTTGTGATGGCCACTCCAATACCTTGACTTTGTTGTCCTTAAGCCATTTTGCCACAACTTTGGAAGTATGCTTGGGGTCATTGTCCATTTGGAAGACCCATTTGAGACCAAGCTTTAACTTCCTGACTGATGTCTTGAGATGTTGCTTCAATATATCCACATAATTTTCCTTCCTCATGATGCCATCAATTTTTTGAAGTGCACCAGTCTCTCCTGCAGCAAAGCACCCCCACAGCATGATGCTGCTACCCCGTGCTTCACGGTTGGGATGTATGTTCTTCGGCTTGCAAGCATCCCCCTTTTTCCTCCAAACATAACGATGGTCATTACGGCCAAACAGTTCTATTTTTGTTTCATCAGACCAGAGGACATTTCTTCAAAAAGTAAGATCTTTGTCCCCATGTGCAGTTGCAAACTGTAGTCTGGCTTTTTTATGGCGGTTTTGGAGCAGCGGCTTCTTCCTTGCTGAGTGGCATTTCAGGTTATGTCGATATAGGACTCGTTTTACTGTGGATATAGATACTTTTGTACCCGTTTCCTCCAGCATCTTCACAAGGTCCTTTGCTGTTGTTCTGGGATTTATTTGCACTTTTCGCACCAAAGTACGTTGATCTCTAGGAGACAGAATGTGTCTCCTTCCTGAGCGGTATGACGGCTGCGTGGTCCCATGGTGTTTATACTTGTATACTATTGTTTGTACAGATGAACGTGGTACCTTCAGGTGTTTGGAAATTGCTCCCAAGGATGAACCAGACTTGTGGAGGTCTACAATTTTGTTTCTGAGGTCTTGGCTGATTTCTTTTGATTTTCCCATTATGTCAAGCAAAGAGGCACTGCGTTTGAAGGTAGGCCTTGAAATACATCCACAGGTACACCTCCAATTGACTCAAATGATATCAATTTGCCTATCAGAAGCTTCTAAAGCCATGACATCATTTTCTGGAATTTTCCAAGCTGTTTAAAGGCACAGCCAACTTAGTGTATGTAAACATCTGACCCACTGGAATTGTGATACAGTGTATTATAAGTGAAATAATCTGTCTGTAAACAATTGTTGGAAAAATTACTTGTATCATGCACAAAGTAGATGTCCTAACCGACTTGCCAAAACTATAGTTTGTTAACAAGAAATGTGTGGAGTGGTTGAAAAACAAGTTTTAATGACTCCAACCTAAGTGTATGTAAACTTCCGACTTCAACTGTATGTATATATATATATATATATATATATATATGCGAGAAAATATGGGGGATTGGAAGTGATGTAGACAATTATATTGATGTAAGTTACAATCTATCTGCACTATTAAGGGAGTAGGGTGTCTGTGTGGATGGGCTTGCGGATACGGATGATATCCAGGCCAGGCTGGTTGGTCAGTTTGGTTATCAGCTCTACGATCTGTTGAGACGTCTTGCTTATGATGGCCTCTTCCTTCACATTGCCGTTTACTGCAGGAAAACACAAGGCACGATTCCTCAAGATGTGGGATGTTTCGATAAAACATGATCTGCATAACATGAATATCCAAAGTGCAAGAACCACAAAGGATGTAAATGAATCACAAATTCTACACTATGGGATTGGTCTGCACTCCTGAATCACAATCACTGACAGAGTACCTGTTGAGCAACATCTTGGTTCTAACACCAGCTAACGGAATGTTTGTTTAACGCATCAACACAAATATGATGAGCTCATTACTGTAGCAGTGCATTCTGATATGGGTAGAACCAGATTTAATACAGTGACCTGAACTTGAGCAACACATTTCTCCATTCAAAATATCATGCAATCCACACTTACAATATTCTGCAACTATCGTAGGAATCCTGCAGAACTGAGAAGACACGTAGACTACGGTTCCAGGATTATTTTTGGCAAAATCCACCACTCCTTCTTCGATGAACTCCCTAAGAAAGTATTTGTTGATGAATCATCAGTTGCTGCGTTGCAGGGGGTGTCATAGTCTGTCTATTCACCATTAGTAAGTTATTTAACGTTATTTTAATGAATCAAACACATTACAGTGGCTACTACCTAGATAATAACCACATTGGCTTTGCTAGCTTTATGAGACTTACCTGGCCCCCAGAGAGCTCTATCCATTCTTGGAGAAGATGAGGGAGATGCGCTTCAGTTGACAGACATACCGACCCACCCCGTTTTGCAGAACACTTTGTAGGAAGCGACTCGGGGTGCATCTAGTTGTAATTTTGCAATATAGATAAATACTTTAAGTGGACATCTATAGACATTTCCATTTTTACTGTTTAATTTCAATGGACTGGCTGGCTAAAGGACGATTTGACGGGCATGTGAAGAATACGCAGTCCGTCAATAAAAAATTCCGGGCAGAAACACGTATACAGGAATCAATATATTTAGAATTGATTTATACATTCAATCATGTTATGATGAATTTGAGATGGATTTTTGATGAAAATATTATCAAATATGTATATAAATAGATTAATCGTTCTAAAAATTACAACAAAAGTGCTATCTTTATATAAATTGTGCACGCGATAAGGTACTTGTTTGATAGCTATGTTTCACACGGACGTATTTTTATAACGCACCAAAAGTCTGCATGCAAGAAAAAATGCCGAAGAAATGTAAGAAAAGGTTGGTTAGTTATCATAAAACTTGTGCGATTTTTGTTTAGTTTGAATGCATGTATGCGGGAATGCATATCACTTTGAGGTTATAGCTATCTCATCCTAGCTAGCTAGTTAACGTTATAGGTGGTGGGACGTGGTTGGATCTGCTTTAGTTTTTCGAGATGATCGAGCTCTGTCGAGGGAGTTTTTTAAAAACATATTGTGTATATTTATTTATTCTTAACACATTTTCATTTTTGGCTATGTCAATTTTTGCACATTTGTCCAAAATACATACTTTTATATTCGCTAGCTGGACAGGCAAATGCCACCTAGTACTAATCTGTAAACCAATCAAAATCTGTGTGCTATCATGCTACCAGCCCTGCTGATCACGCCTGCCAATCACGTATTTAAGGTAGTCAAGTGTTCAACTGCAGCCCGCAATTCGGACGTTCCTGCATGTGGGACACCCCCTCTCGAGCATCCCATTGGTTCCTGCATGAACGCCCCCCCTCGAGCACCCAATTCCTGCATGAACGCGCCCATGTTGCTAAATGCATAATAGCAAAGTGAAGCAGCATATTGGTGTTGAGAACAATGCCTGAGGCAGCAGCAGAATGAGGAGATGAGAAAGCCCTTGCCTTATTGTCTAAGAAAAGTGTGGAGAGGAAACCCCAACTTAATTAGGTCTATAATCAATAGCCTAACTGTTAAATGTGCCTGGCTTTATAAATCATCAATATATATATATATATATATATATATATATATATATATATCTACAGAAATAAGACAGATCCTGCTTCTGTTGCCTGTTTGAATGTTTGTTCAATAGCCTACTGATTCCGTGAGCACGAAGCCTCACGCAAACACAACAAGTCGGATAAACAATTTCACAAATTCAGCTGTTTTTAATATTTGCTATGCTGTAATAAAGGCTTTACACTTTTTTTTTCGTTAGAACAGTCTCTCTGGTATTATTTATAATTAATTTAGTGTTGTTTACACTGTTCCGAATTGTCTGAAAATTTTAATTTATAGTAATAATAAACCTCCTTTTTCTTGATAACCTTTATTGTTATTATTACTATTATTATTATGATTATCATTAGTAGACTTAGTATAGCAGCCTTGTATAACCACAATCGATCGAGCTGTAGGCCTAAGAGCGCATCCTGCTTAGTCTTAATACGTAACTATACTTACCTATATTTCAATACTTATATAGGCTACTGTATCAATCATTCATTCAAACATGTCACACAGCATACGAGTCATTAATGATTTGAAATGCAATAAAGCATTTTAGTTTTAAAATAAAATAACAAAGCGACTCTTGAATAATTAGCGTAAACAAGAAATAAACCGTTCCATTTCGGAAATTAATTAATGAATGCGACTGTTTTTAGTCTTTGCCGTAATAAAGGCTTAACAAAAGAAACGTTAGAACGGACTCTCTGGTAGTCTTAGAATTTATTTAGTGTTGTTTACATTGTTCCAAACGGTCAATATTTTTGTATTGTAATCTAACATCAGCTGTTTGGCACACATAATATTCACTCAGCGCTTAATCTTTACCTTATTTTTCTTGATCTCTAGTATTTTCCACAACTAGTCAAATGTATCTATCTGACTTCCCCTTTACCTCCTGAGCAACCAGTAAACATTCTCCCGTTTTGAGTTTATTTGTCACGTGCTCTGCATCCATTTTGTTGTTACGGTGTTCAGAGTTTGTTATAACCAATTTATTGATGCAATTATGATTTGCTATAGGTCAGGCCCTATTGGTCACGTGCATCCGATTTCGGTAACAGAACCTTTCGGTCAGAAAAGGCTGTAATTATGTTGCAGCTTCAGCAACACAGACAGCGCGATAAACACTGATGATGTTCTGTGGTGGTCGCTGCAGCAGGGAGGAGAGAGAGACAACGGGTGCAAGTCACACAGTCATAGCAAGTCTGAGCCGGCCCAGCACAATCAAATCACTTGCGATCAGACTCCCTCTAGTCATTTGTGTGTCTTAATTATCAGACTTGCTCAGTGCATGTGGTTAATTTGATTAAAACACATAGGATGTGTCTATATATGGAAAAATACAAGTTAAAATCAAAATAACAGACAACTCTTGGTCGACCGATATTTTTTTTTTGTCGGGGACAGCCCTAGCATTACTTTACTGGAGCGCCCCCTTGTCCTGCCTGTCCTAGCTTAAAAATGGACCAATAGAAGTATAAAGAGAGGTTCCTGCAGATGCAGGAATGCCCACATGCAGGAAAGCCCTGAATTGCAGGCCACAATTGCACCCTTTTCAAGGTAGTAGACAGCTGGTGACATCTCGAGAGAGAGAGATCTCCTTCTGCTATCAGGTAAAGTATTTTTTATGTACACTACATTACCAAAAGTATGTGGACACCAGTTCGTCAAACATCTCATTCCAAAATCACGGGCATTAATATGGTGTTGGTCCACCCCTTTCCTGCTATAACAGCCTCCACTCTTCTAGGAAGGCTTTCCACTAGATGTTGGAACATTGCTGTGGGGACTTGCTTCCATTCAGCCACGAGTATTAGTGAGGTCAGGCACTGATGTTGGGCGATTAGGCCTGGCTCGCAGTCGGCATTCCAATTCATCCCAAAGGTGTTGGATGCGGTTGAGGTCAGGGCTCTGTTCAGGACAGTCAAGTTCTTCCACACCGATCTCGACAAACCATTTCTGTATAGACCTTGCTTTGTGCACGGGGGCATTGTCATGTTGAAACAGGAAAGGGCCTTCCCCAAACGGTTGCCACAAAGTTGGAAGCACAGAATCGTCTGGAATGTCATTGTATGCTGTAGCGTTAAGATTTCCCTTCACTGGAACTAAAGGGGCCTAGCTCGAACCATGAAAAACAGCCCCAGACCATTATTCCTCCTACACCAAACTGTACAGTTGGCACTATGCATTGGGGCAGGTAGCGTTCTCCTGGCATCCGTCAAACACTGATTCGTCCGTAGGACTGCCAGAGAACGCGTTTCCACTGCTCCAGAGTCCAATGGCGGCAAGCTTTACAACACTCCAGCCGACGCTTGGCGTTGCGCATTGTGATCTTAGGTTTGTGTGCGGCTGGTCGGCCATGGAATCCCATTTTATTAAGCTCTCGACAAACAGTTATTGTGCTGACGTTGCTTCCAGAGGCAGTTTGGAAGTCGGTAGTGAGTTTTGCAACCGAGGACAGACAATTTTTATGCGCTTCAGCACTCGGCAGTCCCGTTCTGTGAGCTTGTGTGGCCTACCACTTCGCGGCTGAGCCGTTGTTGCTCCTAAACGTTTCCACTTCACAATAACAGCACTTACAGTTGACCGGGGCAGCTCTAGCAGGGAGAAATCTTACGAAGTGACTTATTGGAAAGGTGCATCCTATGACAGTGCCACGTTGAAAGTCACTGAGCTCTTTAGTAAGGCCATTCTACTGCCAATGTTTGTCTATGGAGATTGCATGTCTGTGTGCTTGATTTGATACACCTGACATGCACATTGACATTTGGTCATGTTGTTCTACACTGAAGTATATAGGTAGCTATGGAAGAATATGCTTCAAATGGGGGGTTGATTTTTTACCTGAGACTAGACTGAGTGAGAATATTGCTTCGCTGTGGAAGTCAAAACAGAAGTAAAACTAAGCAAATGATCCGCCTGCTCCCAGGCTATGTTGATTGTGCCTCTAACTAACTTTACCATACCTCTCATATTTTCTTTCCCCTCCAGGAACCACGGGCAGTGGCAAGACCACACACACTGTCACCAATGTATTTTTAACCATTGTGTGTTGGTACTAGTAACCTTTGAACCCTTGTCTACCACCAGCCAGGAGGTGGACAACGAGAAGACGCTGGTGACGTGCCCCGGCCGGAGGTCCCTCCAGGTGGGCAAGAACCGCTTCGACGGAGATGTGGGCATCTTTCCCCTGGAGTTTAGCAAGGCCTCGCTTACCTTCTGCACCCCCGGTAAAGGGCAAGCACAAGTTGAGAAAGGTCAAAGGTGACAAGGGAGAGGGGTCGGAGAACAAGGAGACTTTAGGAGAGACTCTAAAGAAGGAGGAGACAACGGTAAAGAAGGAGAAACTAGTGAAGTTGGAGAGGCCACCCAAAGCTACCAAAACGCTCAGAGCTGTTAAGAGTCCTGCAACAGGGAAGGGCACAACAGAGGGAGGGGAAGGAATAGCCATAGAGGGAAGACTTCACTCATTGATCTAAGCAAAGAACAGGATCTCGGTGTATGGTATTATATAATATAATGCATTATGTTATGATTTGATATGACAGAAAAAGGTATTTGGGTCTCTGTTTATTGTACATTTAGTATGATATAATATCATGAAAAAAATGTATTGCTTAATATTGATGATTTGTCACCTGATTGGAGAACGTGTTTGCTTTTGTGACTGAAAGGTGGGATGAAAGCTGTTATCTAAAGGAGAAAAGAGCTATGTAAAATAAGGTTAGTATGAAATGGATGTTGGCAATGAATGACCATTGAAATGTGGTATTGGCACTTAAAGTAATAGTTGAAAGACAATTGACTCACCGAAATGAACACAAATATAGTGCTGCTGCTTGTTT